ACTCTTGAAGTATTCTATACACCAAACTAGCCTCCAAATAAAATTATTGAAAAATACCGACAATTTACAAGAATGAAAACAACGGCAATAATGTGTCGTAAATAGAAATTCTTGACTCTAATCATAATTTAACAACATTCTTCCCCCCACCCCCCTAAGTCAAGAAAAAATCAGGGGACTTTAAAAAATGACTCGATCGACTTTGGATCCAAGAAAAATTGATTTAGACAGGCCGACTCTAATTCTAAACTGGATTTTAAAAAATAAATTATTTTTGTTAACCAAAAATCCTTTTTAATACACTCTGTTTCAAAATTATAGACTTTGTGGAACCCTAAAACTGAGGATTTGCCTATAACTATCGAAAAAATTGAGTTAAAAACAAATTTTTTATAAACCTAATTTTAGACATCTATTTATTATTACAAAAAAGTCTAAAAATAAAAATAACGGTTCAGTATAGAAACCGAGAAAAATATACTTTTGTAGAGCAGTGTAGAAGAAGTAAGTAGGGAATAAATTTTATTAGATGTTTAACACTCTTCTGCTTATTAAGATTTTTGACTCAGATTTGCACACTTTTGTAGTTAAAAATTTATAACCTAGGAACAGATTGAGTTATTAAATTTAATTTTTTGGGGGATTTTAATTATAATTTAAAAATTTTGTTGAATAAACAAAAGATCTATTTATATCTAAAAAATATTATTTATATAAAAAATGATGTATAATATTTATTTTTATAAAAATTTCTTTAAAATAAACACTCAAGATTGGCAGCACTTTTTAAAGCTATCGCTTCATCATTAATTAGCCCAGCAGCCAGGTTTTTAGCATTAATCTCAACTGATCGTCTAGCTCTATTTATTTTCGTTTCTGATTTTTTCTGTCCAGTTTTACATGTTCCACAACATTTACATATAAAAAAGAAATTAAAATTATTTTTTAATTAAAAATAAAAATATTTACATTAAACCAAGTTCAGCACGTATTTCGGGTGGTAAAGATGAAAGGAAATTGTGTTCCTAAATTAATATTTTTTCTAAAATTTCTTCTATCATTTTTACCTGTTTTCTAAAATTAACCCATTTATTATAAGCTTCTCTTGCATTTGCCGATAATTTTTGAATTGTTTGGTGCCGTTCAGAAATTTGTTCAGAAAGTTTCTGATCGAATTTGGCAAAACGAGCAATCTAAAAAAGAATAATTAAAAAATTCTTTATTTCTCTGAAAATAAATATCAAAACCGATTCTTCATTTTTTAGTAATTCTTGTGCCAATTTCCTAAATTCTGTCTGTTTTTGTTCAATTGTCATATCATCATTAAACCAGACATGCATAAAACGATCTCTAATTTCATCTGATTCATTTTTTAAAAACCCAGGTCCACAAACTCCTTTGAAAAGTTGCATTCGAGTCTATAAATTAACTGAAACTGATGATTTTTTAACTCAACAACCTCTTCTGGGATTGCCATTATAATTGCTCGGGTTTGCTCCTGTTCTTGTTCACATTCGTCTCCTGCTTGGTAATTAACCCAAATTGCGTGAATTTTTGCCTGAGCATCTTGAGGAAGTCGATAGGCAAATGGGGGGATCCCGCAATCCAAATGACGTTGATGCCAAGGTCCCAAGGCATCGAAAGGATCGGTAGAAGAGAGGGGGCCACTATCACCACAGTTACACCCGAAGGATTTTGAAGGAACCAAAATAAGTAAAATAAAAAAGGAAAATATTAAGTGAATATTCATTTTGAGGAAGATTTATTTATTTTTTAAAAAATTAAATAAAAATTAGCAGAAATAATAATTAATAAAAACAATAGTTAAAATAATTATTTATTAAAATAAAATTATTTATCAAGCAAAGTAAATAATTTAGAAGAATCGAGGAGTATTTGTATTTAGCTTAATGAAATTATTTATTTATTCAGTTATAATTAAAAGAATTAAGTAGATTCTTTTATTTTCTAATCTCTTTTAAATATCCGGTTTTTCAATTGTTTTTTATTGGCTAACAAAAAGATTCCAAATAAAAAGTAATTTTTGTGTCTTTTCCTCTTGTGACTGCTTCACATTGGCCGCTTCAAGATTAAAAGTTGGTAATTAATTATTTTATTTTTAATAAATAATGAGGAATAAATTTAATATAAAAATAATTTTGGATAAAAATTAAATAAAAATAAAAAAATTTAATTTTCAATTCTTTTTTTTTCAACTTTTCTCTTTTCGATAAAAATCTAATTTGCAATGATTTAAAAATAGTACCAAATAAAAGCTAAATCTGTCAAAATAATTTGGAAGAGATGAAACTTTGACGAAAAAAGATATATTTTAAATTCAAAAAAGAAAATATAGGCAGGCACGTGGAGAGAAATTCCTCAGCCGGTGGTGCCAAAATAAATATTTATTTTTTGTGTTTTTGGCTATATTTCCTTTTATTTTCTTTTAAAATTTCTTTTTTGCATTAAATGATGAAATTATCGCGGCAAACAAATCTGATGAGAAGAATGCCGCGAAGCGAAACGCCAACTGGTAGGAGGAGAAAGGAGAATTAAATGAAAAGAAAAAGGGCCTTTTAAAAAGGAAATTCATTCCTTTTTTTTTCAGAAAATTCTCGAGAAATTAATAAAAAAAATTCTAAAAAAATTTACATGTGTTCCCATTTATTTTGTTATTAATTATATGTAAATTTCCTTTGATTTTTATTATTCGATTAAGTTTTCAATTTCTGGCTCTGATCTACTTGAAAAGGATTATAACTCAGTTATTAAACCCCCCCCACCCCCAACTATTTTAGTAAATAAAATTTAATTATTTCAATTTATTTTAAAAAGTCAATGATTCTTTTAATTATTATTTTCTTTGATTATTTTCATTTTTCATCACAGCAATATTACAAAAAAGATTTTAGTTCACGTTCTTCTTATATAACAGCAGAACGTCCTTTAAGGTGAAATTTGTAAGGGAAAACAAATTTAGTAATTTCTAGATTAGCACTTCGTGCATGTACTTCACAACTTGAACCTTTCCAATTAGATACAATGCTTGTCAGTTTTTGTTTAATTAAAAATATTAAAAGAAACACAGAAAATTATTCTTAAAAATTTAAAGTTCTTTCCTTCTGATTTAAAAATTTGTGCCTCAATCGAATCAAACAAAGGTATCAATGCTTTATCACGCGATCGCGCAAGAACGACACATTTGAGGCCATTAGTTTTTCTTTCAATTCGGCCAGTTGGTTCTTCTCTTCATTGCCAATTATCTTTTTATGTTTGTTCCTCAAATAATTTAAAATTCAAATTTTTAAGGGCTATCAAGGAGATTATCGCTTTGCTCCAGATTTAGGTTATTACCAAACATGTCAACGTTCCATTTCTCAACATTTGGATAAATTAGTCGAGAAGGAAAAGGATATTCTTGTTGATAGCAAAAGCCCAACAAGCATTCCTTTATTGAATTCAACAACAAATAATTGCCCAATTCATTCACTTCCAGGCACAATAAGAGTTGGAAATATTTTTTTTAATTTTGTTATTTAATTTTTTGTTAGGAATTAAATGCTTGTAAATTAAAAGATGGTCAATGGTATGAACTTTCTTTCCGATCAGCAATTCAGTACGAAATATTAATTACCGAAAAAAATATTTACCAGCAAATGTGGGTAAATCACTCGACAACTTTTGTTTTCAAACCTGACAGAGAAGTTTGGAGAAACGGAACAGAACTTTATTGGCTTCAACGATTACTTCAGTTAAGAGTTAAGTAAGGGAACAGAAAATGTTTAAATAATTAAAAGAATTTTTTTGGTAGAATGAAAAATTGTGAAGCTGTTCGTTATCTGTTAAAGCTAGACGAAAGTTGGTCTTCAGGTCAATTACCAGTTACCGTCTTTATTGACTATCAAGTGAGAGAGAATGCTTATGTAAAGCATTCGAGGCATTTGGGCAATGGAACTCTTATGGATGGATGGTTTACTGGAACATTTCCGGTATGGAGAACACCTGAATTACGGACTCATGAACTTTGTGTTCAGGTAGAAAATAAATAAACATTAATTGGATTAACAAAGAATTTCTTTCAAGTTTGCATGGCCTCGTTCATTAAATCAGTACAGACTTTGCAGAACTTTTCTTCGAGGCCGTTCCTCACTTGATTGTGATCCATTCTCCTATTATACACAATATTCAGTTGCCTCAAAAAGTGAAAATAATAAAAATAAATTAATAATTAATTTTGTAATTTATATAATATTTATATTATTTTTTAATTAATAATTACTAATAAACTTATAATATTTAATTTCTTAAATTATTTATTATAGTATATTTTTATCTAAATCGTAAATATATTTAATAAAAATAAAACGATACAAAATGATGAGAAACGGCTATCCTAATCATTTAAACCGGGCTTGACTTTTTTCAAAATTAGTAAAAAAATCGAAGAAAATTAACCCTAAACCTGTTTAAATAAAACAATTAAAAATATCTCTAATTTAAATTTTAAATTAAATATAAATATTTGCTATTTAAATAAAAAATCCCAAATCCCCAACAAAATTAATCAATTCCTTCATTCTGCAAATTTTATTTTCAATTCGCTGTTTTTTCTTAATCCAGCATTCTTTAATAAATTGAACATATCTGTTTACACAAAGAGAGAAAGTGAACGTTAGTTCATTCAAGTTTATTTTATAACAAGCATTCTACGTGAAAAGCAACTGCTTATTCAATAAAAAATAAATATTTTGTGCTATATCCAACATTTATAGGTCAATTGAATATTGTTTTTTAACAATTGTTTATCAAAAATTAATTTCCACGTTTCATGTTTATTCGATTCTTAAACAATCAACAAAAATAAATTTTAATTTGAACTTAATTAAATGATAACTAATTTTAAATATATTCGGGACTATATTTAAAATAATATTTTTTATCGTCAAACAAGAATTTAAAAAACTGCAAATTAACTACCTAATTTAGTTGCCTTTTTAATTAATGGGAACTAAGCGCCCCCTCCATGAACGATCACCACCTGGATTGGACATTGTACCAGCCAGTCAAAGAAGACGACTTTCCTTTTCTAACAGTGACTTATCAGATACTCGACAATTAAAGGGGCTCTACGAACTCTGTCTTGGTAAATGATATTTTGATATAGGAAATTTTTTGTTAGAATCTAAATTGCCGGTTAATGGTTATTAATTAAATTTTCTCGATTCTCTAGACTTTAATAATTTAAAGATCAAGTACTTCGAGGATTACATCCAGTTTCAAGAGACACGGCTATTAGACTTGCTGCAATTCAATGTTTTGTACAATATGGACCTTTTTATGATGGAGTACAGAGCAGTGTTCGGTTGGTAGATTTATAAATTTAGTTTAGTTACAAGTTAATTCTTTGTCTCTCAAAATAATATTAACAAAAATTTGTATTTTAGATTTAAATTTTTTAAGTGCTTACAATTTGTTGCCAAAAGAATATTTACATGCAAGGGAACATGAGAAAAATATAATTGAAGTACTTATATAAATTTTTTAGAAAAATTTAAATATTATTTAGCAATACCGAAATTTAATTTTTCCAAACGACATAGCTGCACAACGGAAATATTGTGACATTTGTAAGAATCTTCCAACATACGGAATGATTTTTTTCAATGTAAAGGAACCTGTCCGAAATAGTGAGCTTTTAGATTTTATTAAAAATAATGGAAAGACTGGAGTTTATTAAAACGAATTTGGCTGGCAAAATATTTAATATCTTGATCAAAAAATAATTTAATCAAAATTATTTGTAGAATTAGTGCCTCGTCTATTTGGTGTTAATAAGGAATGCGTAATGAGTGTTGACAAAAAGAACAAGGTTAAGAGATAACAAAATAGTATAAATTTTTTTAAATATTTTTTGTAGGTTGTTCTCAAATCCTGGCCGTTGGAGCAACTTAGGAGATGGGCTGCCTCTCCAAATACTTTTAATATTGTATTTAAATTATTTAAATAAAAATTAAATATTTGTTTGTTTTTAGGATTTTGGTGATTACCAAGATGGGTATTACTCTGTTCAGACGGTAAACAAAAAAGTTATTTCACTTTGTAAAAGTTAATTAAATAACAGCCAGAGGCAGGAAAGATTAAACGACTCATAGCTGAATTTGTGGATATAATACTTATCAAAAAACAATTAGTGGACCCTTTTGGTGTTGAGGGGGATGAAGGGGCTATTATGATTGAAGACTTTGTACATCGTGCCCGTTCTGTTCCTCTATCGGCCGAGGATTTACAGATAATACAAGAAAGTGAAAAAGATGTTAGAAGAGCAAAACCTAATGAACCACCTGAACGCTATGAACAAGTTGTTGTTCCAGAAGGCTTTAAGCCCTCAATAGACGAGCAAAAATTAATTGAAGTAAGAGATATTTTCTCTAATAAAATGGGATATCATATTTAGTATTCAATATATAATTTATATATCCAAACTAATTTCAGCATTACCGCCCAATGACAGTTCCAATTCCGGTTGCAGAGTTTCCAAGGAGTTATCAACGTCTTCCTAGCGCTCCTCCATTAATAAACATCACCCAACCAACAACTCCCCAATCCCCTATTCATTTTACCCAGACAGAACGTTACGAACAATTACCCCCGCAAATTTTTGAAGAAACTGCCAAAATTTCACCACAAAATGTTCCAGGCAATTTTTAATTAAAAATATCGTGAAGAAGTTTTTAATTATTTAAAATTACTTTAGTGTCTTCGAAGCCGCCAGATATTCTTGAAATTCAAATCCCACCGCCTTTATTACCGCCACCTGTTTCTGTTGAAATTATTGATAATTCTAGAGGTTTGCCGCAAGAAAAAATAATATTCTCAGAATTTTAAATTTAATAAGAATTCTATTTTTAAAGAAAAGAAACCCTTACAACCTTCGACTTCCCCACTACCAATCACTACCAAAGTTGATTTAATTCAAGAACAATCCGAACAGCACCATTTTTCGGCTTTTACCTCCAATCAAATAGCCTATGAAATTTGTTCTGTAATTTTTAATTGTTTTTTATTATCTGCAGAAATTATTTTTAAATTATCAGAAAGAGGGGATTATGCATCGTTCATACGAGCAACATTTTGAAAACACAAAAAATTTACAATCATTTACTGAAGTGATCGAAAGAACAATTAAACGTTTACTTGATTGTAGTCAACAAACTTTTAATTTTAATTTGCCAACATTAAATAATGAAGAAAAAGCATCAGCCATTAAATTAGGCGAAGATACAATTCGCCATCAAGCAGTCCTTTTCTTAGCCTGCACAGCGCAGGTTTAGTTTTTTTTTGAATTGCGCGAGATTAATAGGAAACATCCATCTCTGTTTTAGCTTATAAGGAGAGGAAACTCCTCTGGGGCCTATTCAGATTATATGAAGTTTCTGATGTGACATGTGGTATCAGAGATTTCATATTTGAATGGCCCTGGCTATCATCTAAATTCCAGCTCATTGACTAAACTCTTACCTATGCACAACTTTTCTCTCTCTATTTTTAAATATAGGCGATTGAATGGACATCCGAATCTCAACGTTTTGGACCCAAATATGGCCGCGCTTGTACGGCAATTAATCAAGGGGGTGATTATCTTTGTGAACTAAATCAGTGCACAAAAGAGCTAGTCGCTTTATATTCAAATCCCCAATTTACCACCCAAATACTTTCATTAATCAACTCTCTCAATGAGGCTTTCATTAATTTTTTAGGTAAATACTATCCAAGTTTTAAATAATTTAAAATTAAATTTAAGGTAAACTACATCCTGATTCGAATGAAAAACGTTCCCAATTTCTTTCAACTGCCAGTTTTGTAGGGGAAAGTGTCTTTATTTTATTAAATTCATTAAATGCGGATGAAACAGAAGCTATTGAAGAAAAGAATTTTTTTAATAATTTGAATGAGGCTATTCAAAACGTTGCTAATTCAACTGCTGGATTAGTTCTACAGTTAAAATTAATTAGAAAATAAATTTAAAATTGGACTTTTTAGGGCTAAAAATATATCTGGATCGCCAACAGATTTTCCTAGAGATAATATTATACAAGCAGCAACTCGAGTAGCTTTATATACAAGGTATTGTAAAGCATAATAGCTATTTAATTACAAAGGCTGTGCAGTAGGGGGCATGATGTAATGGTGTAATATTATGTGGTGTAACACATCAGTCCGGTCTACTGAAGATATGCTAGTTTGCTCCCAGCCGCCGAATAACCTTCTGCACTAGCTGAAGGAGAGATATAGCTATAGTCCAGCTGCTTTACTGCATTTAAATTTGACAAATAAATATGTCCAAAGACAAATAGTCTTCATGACTCTCTATACGGGTTAAAAATAAAATAGAAAGATTTCACTCACAGTTCGGAAATATTCTTTTTTAGTTAAAAAAATTTTTAAATTTTATTTCAACAATGGAAAGTTGTATACTATTTTTTTAATTTTAAGTGAGGCAATAGCTCTTTCACGTGTATTAACTTCTATAATGGCACATCCAGCATGCCAGAGAAGGGTTTGTTTGATTTTACTTAAAATTGTTCCAAAATAATTTATTTTTCAGATTCAAAGGATAACAAAATTAATATTTATTTCAATTAATGAATTACTTGAATTGACAAAATCGGAAGCTTTTGATCAATTTAAATTGACAGGCAAAACAGAATATTATCAAAATTTACAAAAATATGCATTAACCACAGAAATTGCTTTAAACAATTTAATAGAGCAAATAAACACATAAAAAATAGATAAAATTAAATTTTTTTAGATTATTTTATCTGTCTAATAAATTGATAAATAAATTTAGGATATAGTGTAGTGTACCGGTGGTAAAAGTTCGGGACGTGACATATGTCATTCGATTCGTCTCGACGAGCTGAGTCGAACGGTACCACTCTCAACTTTAGGAAATAATTCTGGGCCGAGTTATAGGTCCCGAAAAATTTAAAAACCATAGGGGGGAGTAAGCTCGATTTTGGGGTGAAAAATTCGAATATGCAAATAATAGCTCATTCGAAAGAGCTCGCCGAGCTGAGTCGAATGACACCAAAATCACCGGGATTAAACAAGTTTAGATAAAGTTACAACACAAAAATAAACAACTTAAACCTATGGGGCATCGGCGAGGCGCTTGTGCAAAACTCCGCGCTTCGCGCGGAGTTTTGCGGCACGCGCCTCGCGGGGAGTCTACGGGCGCCGGGTCTGGGCTCGTAACATAACCCTATTCCTATCTCCCTTGCTCTGGATGTACTTGGGGCCCGGTAGCAGCAAAAACCTCTACAGAGGCGATAGATAAGGAGCTAAAACAAACGGTCATAACTTTATCAAATAAAGTCAGATTTCGTTGATTTTGGTGTCATTCGACTCAGCTCGGCGAGCTCTTTCGAATGAGCTATTATTTGCATATTCGAATTTTTTACCCCAAAAAAGTGCTTACTCCCCCCTTTGGTGTTTCGATTTTCAGGGACCTATAACTCGGTCCAGAATCATTTCCTAAAGTAGGGAGTGGTACCGTTCGACTCAGCTCGTCGAGACGAATCGAATGACATATGTCACATCCCGAACTTTTACCACCGGTACACTACACTACAGCCTAAATTTATTTCTAAATTTTTTAAACAAAAAATATTAATTTAATTAGCAATTATATTCAGTCTTTTTATGATTATTTTTTTAATTAAATATAAAAATATACTTATCGAAAGAGAGGGAAATTAAGCGAGTGAGGGAGGACAAATATTTGAGAGAGAGTAATTAATTGAAGAGTGTTTCCAGTGTTAGAGTTCGAATTTAGAAATAATTTTTATGTCAAAAGAACCTTATAAATTATAGATATAAAATATCAAATTTCATTAAAATCTTTCGACGTAGTAAAAAGTTATGGATTTTTCAAATAGTGCTTCTTAATTGAAACATCCTGTATTATAAGTAGTTAAGAAAATAAAATATTTTTATCATTATAGAAAAAATATTTCTCTTTTAAAAATTCTCAAATTATCTAAACTTTAATTAATTAAGAACACCCAAACTTTCTTGTGTTACCAAAACATCGTTGCTAGGTGATATTATATTTGAATTAGTAAACAAAATATTACATTTAATTAATTTAAAAATAATTTGTCTGTAATTTCTAACACTTAAAAGAGTTACCTTAAAAAATAATTTTTTTGAGTAATTAATTAAAAAATAAATTTACCAGAGGATTTAAAACAACAATTAAAGAATTAAATAAGGGAGTTATTATAAAACCAAATTTTAAATAAAATATTGAATTATTTAAAATTGTTAAATTAATTATTGTTTGGGAAAAAAATGGAAGAATGGCCAAAAGTGCCTTAAACAAAAAATTAATTTTTTATTAATTAATTAAAAATTTGTAATTAGATAAAAAGGATATATTTTATTTTTAATTTAAAAATTAATTTCATCAAAATTATTATTAATAAAATTCATTAACTTTATTATTAAACAATTTATGACAAAATTCTTAAGGATTTTAACAGCAATATTACCATAAAAATATATACAAAGGTTTCAAGCCTGAATGGCTCCCTTGTCAAAACTCTTATTTCCCAACTTTAATATTCTCTTATTAAAATTATTTTTATAATATTTTGAATGTATTCTAAAATATACCTGTGACCATAAAACAATAGAAATCTGTTTGTTAACTTTACGCATAGTTTCCAAATTAGGTCCATTATAATGACGATGCACATACAATTGAATTCGAATTCCGCACAATATAATAATTACCGTATTTCCTATATTAGAGCCCCATGGGGCTCTATTTTTCAACTATTCTCCAAGGTGGGGCTGTATTAAAGGGTGGGGCTCTAATTGAGGGTGGGGCTCTATTTTTCAACCCTCTTTTGAGATAAAATCCCATTTATTAAATATCCATTGCAACTAGAGATAGGCTGGAGGGGTGGTCGATAAAACCGAAAAATATCGAAAGGAATCGAAATTTTCGATTTTTCACAAAAATTAAAACTTTTTAAGCAATGAATAACAAAATAGTCGCAATAGTTCAATTAGAGTAAGATTACTAAGTATGAAATTTTGGTAGATTTGGACGGATTAAAAGAAATATTAGGGGACTAGTATTTGACATCGATGGATCAGAGGTATAAAAGTTGATTTTAAGGGATTATGGGGAATATAATAGGATTAAGTTTATATTGAGAGATTTAGCGGGATTAATTTGTAAGAGGGGTATTCTGAATTAGGGGTATTAGGAGGCATATGAAGCGATTTTGTTTGATGAGGCCTTGGAACAGGTTCCAGAACTGGAACTGAAGTAATTCAAAAAGCAGTTCCAAAACGGGAACCGGTTCCAGAGAAATTTTGGAACTTCTCCATCACTGATTATAAGCGAATAGATCTCTAATAATCTCGCGAATTATCGTCAATTTCCTAACACGATTGCAACACTTCATACAATGATTAGATTTTGGAGGTAATAGGAGGAATTTAGAGGAATATAGGCGATATTAGAGTATTTTGACGGATAACGGGATTAATCCCTCATTTTCATCCCTAATCCCCATGATCCCTCCTCCTCCATGATCACAATATCATCAATATCCCCCTTTACTTCCTTAACTCTCGAAATACATCTAAAAAGTTATTCGGATATTTTTTTCCTCCAATATTTTTAAGTGGGGCTGTATTTGGGGTGGGGCTCTAATTGAGGGTGGGGCTCTATTTTTCAACTATCCTCCAAAGTGGGGCTGTATTAGAGGGTGGGGCTCTAACAGAGGGTGGGGCTCTAATATAGGAAATACGGTATATATGTTAAAAATGAAAGAAAAGTAGCAAATGTTGAGGTAATGGATGAAAGTAGATTGTCAGGCTTTTTTGGAAAATTAAAAATTTTATTTCGAATTTTCATTAGCAAAATACTACTAAAAAATATATTTATGTATACCGAAGATCTCATGCTAACAACATAATTTTTAAGTGTATAATTGTCAATTTCCAAAATTTGTGCCAATTCATAATTTGTTAAATATTCATTTTCGGGTGTCGGTTTATTTGATAAAAATGATAAAGTGAAAAGAATAATAATTGGAAGAAGAACGGAAGCAATTATGGCCAAATAATGTCTCCAAAGAATATTTACAGAACTTAAATTTATAATAAATTTGGATAACGTCATTGGGAGGGGGGAGGGGGGGATATTCTAAACACCTCATAAAAATAAAATTTATCCATAATTTCTTTTCAGAGCTAATTAGTTGTCGGTTTATGTTTAAGATATCCTAGAATGAATTGAAGGACGTAACTAAAAATTTTCGGTGTTCGGCCGAGAATTATGACTAATAAAACATTTTTAATTTGAGGCCACCAAGTCCATTTAGTATGAATTTATATATAACTTTGTATCTTTTTAAATAATTACCGAACAATAGCCAGATAACGATAAATAAATTGTGAACAAACATTAACTGCTGTAAATCTTTTCATAAAAGAAAATAAAATAAAAAATAAGCATTGCCAAGGATTGGGTAAATAATGTGTAGGTCCGTATTCCCATCCTGTACCAATTCCATTATCGGAGAAAAAAACCTTTTTATTATTTTTTTGTAATTTTTTAAATTAAAAAAAGCGGTTGAACAATAGCAAATACAACAATCACAACAATATCAACAATACAAGTTTGTAAAAGTATTTTACTATAAACTTCCATTTCTTTCATTGTATACCGAATTATTAGATAAATTAAAAGAAAATTGAAGAATAATCCCATCCCGCCAAAACAACAAATTATTATAAAATATAATTCCGGTAACATTTTCCTCCTTTATTTTCTCGAAATTTCTAATATAAGAAAAATAATTTAAAATTACTCGGAGATACAATTGTTAATTATTTTAAGTTGAGATAATTATTTTTTGTTGAATGTTCTGTAAATGTTTAAATTTTTAAAAATGTTTGTTTAAATTAATATTGCATTTAAATTTTTTATTAAACTACAAAAACATCTAAAACTCCCATGCCAGTAATTAAAAAAATCAAATTTAATAAATTTTGATTGTTTCATTCTCGTTCCATTTTAGTGTCCAGATAAGTTATACTCGGAGCTGCACGCAATTGAAAAAAAAAGATTTTGCAACTAGCAATTCAAAATTGCGTGCAGCCCTGCTAACAATAAGAAAAGACTGGAGTTCATTTGGGTGTTGTGTGATTTCGGCAGAAGTGACGTAGGCAGTGGTTAAATGGGCAGTGAGTGATTTAGGCAGTGAGGTGAATTGGGCAGTGAGTGAATTGGGTAGTAATCATTTTTTTAAAAAATATTTTCCACACAAAAACAATTTGAGTATCATCCGATTATGAGTGATTTAGGCAGTAAATTATTGTTTTTAAAAAACTATTAATGCTCACAAATTTAAAAGTATATCTTAAAGTGTAAGATTAGCACATGCTCGTTGGCATAATATATTCAGGAAAAAATATATTTCAATACAAATCCGGGCCCTAGTTAAAACATATTCCTGAGGAATAAAATTTACTGCCTAAATCACGCATAATTATTTTTTCGTTGATACTCAAATTGTTTTTATGTGAAAAATATTTTTTTAAAAAACGTTTACTGCCTAAATCACTCACTGCCCATTTAACCACTGCCTACGTCACTTCTGCCGAAATCACCAGACACGTTCATTTGAGAGGTACAGTACTCGAACTGAAAATCAGCAACAAAAGAGAGTAAATTGATAAATACCGGCCGTTTCATTCTTTCTTTTTTACTAGAAAGTTTTTGAAATATTTAAAAATTAATTTTCAAATTTTTTATTTTAAATAAATGGTTAGTTAATTAATTTTTTATAAAAAAATTATTTCTTTTAAAAAGCCTGGAATAAACAAAATTAAAAATGGCCATCTTGAAAAAAGAAAGGAGTGGATTCGCCGAACTCGAGATTATAGAGAAAAAGCAGATGCAATTAAAAATTTAAAATTAAAAGCTAGAGAGAGGAATTCTGATGAATTTAATTTTCATATGTTGAAAAGTCAAGTTGGGGTTGGTTTTTTGATTAAATAAATAAATTAAAAATTTATTTTAAGCTTGATGGAGTACATAGAGATATGGAATCTGAAGATGAAGAACAGACTGAAGTTCAGCGACTTTTAAGTGATATTACTGACATTAATTATGTCAAATTTCATTTACAAAAGGAGAAAAAGGTTTTTATTTTTAATCGAACTTTTATCTGGTTATTCGCCATTTAATTTTATTTATTTTTAACAAAAAATCTTTAAGAAATTATTAATTTTTAGAAAATCGAAAAACTAAAATCTGTTCTTCATTTTTGTGCTGAAAAGGAAATTGGCGAAGATATTGAAGGGTCTACATCAAAAAATGTTCCTCCAATCAATAAGCACATAATTTTTGTTAAAAATAAAAAACAAGGTTTCTTCTTTTGAGTTTACCCCTTAAGACTTGAACCCTCAATACCTGTTGACCTTGAATACTTCAATCTTTTGATTAAAAATGTTTATTGGAAAATTAAACGGGAATATTTTACAAGGGCCCCTTATCAGGTGACATAGTGTCAATCACTTGATTGATTGGTCAATAAGTCTTCTGGGTTTACCACTTCTTTTTATTAAATAATTTTAAAGAAAAATTTTATTTAAAGCAAAAACATTTGATTTGGCTAAACATTTTAACACAACTGAACAATTTATTTCTCGAACATTTAATCGTCCAAGAATTAATCCAAGCAATTCTGTTGAAAGAAAACTGGATGATATTGACAAATTAGAGGTTTTTATATATTTTGAAAATAAATATTTTTCTACAAATTGGGGATTTGGAGGGGGTTTTTAATTTAACTATAAATATTAAATTCCTTCAAATCCAATTGTAGCCTCTCTTCTATTTAAAATAAATTTTTAGGAAACAGAAAAAGAACGTCGTTCTCTCTATTCAGAACTCGGAAAACGAATTGAACGTGCAAGAGAATTAAATGTTGTTTTGGCAAAATTGGAACTTAAACGTGATTTACAACTTTCGAAAGGGTCTGAGTTAAAGCCTAAACAAGTTAAGAAGGGAAATGCAGAAAGTGCAGCTGTTTATAAATGGACATATGAACGAAAGAAATGAGAATGTTTTTTTTGTTTTTAATGTTAAATATTTTAAAGAACTTTTTAGTAAAAGAATTTGCAGGACTTTGATTCAACTCACTCATTTCCTCCTTCCAAAAATAGACCTATTTCTCCAAAGTTCCGTAAGTTCGTCTGGATTTTCCCAACTACCAAAATTTCCAACTTTTATTTAAATTAAATTTTATGTTAAAAATAAGGATAATTTATATATTCTTGACTAAATTATTAAAAAACAAGTTACGTTTCCATTAAAATTACAATTATTATTTTAAGAATCGTTACTTGCATACATTACATATTTATGCAGAATTAAGTCTAAACAATTAAATGATGTGATTAAATTTAAAAAAACTTTTTAAATAAATTCAATTTTTAAATTTATTTAATCACATCAAATAATTTTTATAATTTTTTAAAAATATTTATGGTTGTCGTCTCGGTAAATTTGTCGCTCTATAATGATAAAAATCCATAAAAGTTTGTGTTATATTCCAACCAGCACTTATTGTTGCAACGAAAAATATAAATAAAAATGTAATTGGGTAGAGAAAGAAATGGGTATTCTTCAAAATTGGAAGAGCTGAAAATAAAATAAAAAAATTTAATTTTTAATAAAAAGAATTTTCAGTTTTTAACAAAAAATCAAAAAACTTTCGAAAATTTTTAATTTATAAATTAACCTGTATATCCTAGAAAAGTAATATAAATATAGTAGATTACAGCAATGCACCAAATTGAATTTCCCAAAGCACGGGCAGCAAAATTTGAATAATCTATTAGACCTACAAAAAAATTTATTTTAATTTAATTACAAAAAATTTACCATAAAATAGCAAAGGCAGAATAACATGAAGACAAATCAATAAAGGAAAGAAAGCATTCAAGTGGACATCAAAACAATAACCCCACTCAACATCTTGGTCCTTAACTCGACGTAAATAACGATTTGATATATACCTTTTAAAAAATTATTTTATAGCAAAATAAATTTAAAAAAACCAAAGAATTGTTGCAATAACCAATCCAACACAAATACAATCAACAAAAACTGCCCACAAAAAGAATGTTAAGAATGCAGAGATTGATAATCCAAGAGCAAAGGCAAAAAGAACGCTTGAGCCAAAAAGCGAAAATGCCAAAAGAACGAGGAATGCTGGGTCGTCACGTGCCCATTGGTCTTTTGTTTCTAAATAGATTTTGGAAATAAAATATATTTCGAAATCAAAATTCGGAGTTTCTTGCGGAATTTTTTGAAAAGCCTGGACCTGTTCTTAGACTCTGGGTTTGATCTATTGACCTTGACCGGCTCCTGGAATTGTAGTCCAGGAAAAACCCAGGAAGGTAAAAAATGCCGGGACTCTGGGTACAGGAAAAACCCAGGCCTTGGTTCAGACCCAGACCGATCTCTAAAGGGGAATACTCGAAAATATAGTTCATTGTGTTTTGAAATTTCCGTGACCCCACAAAAATTGAACTAAAATTAGGGTGAGTCTTTTTAATTAGCTATTTAAAAACAAGTTTCAAAACAAACTTTTCCTGTACATAAAATTCCTGTAAACTTTTTGTGGATTAATCATTAAATAAAGCATTTGCCAAGCAGCAAATTCAAAATCCATCTGCCGAGCATGAAAAAGACGTCGAAGATAACGACCTAGTTTAGCAGCTGCCGTCATTCGTACAGACGAGAAACAACCAACTTCCTCGCCAGTTGTTGTTGTGGAACTGTAAAAAAAGTCAAAATTTAAATACCTTTAGAATTCAAAACATTTACAATTTAGAAGTATAAGAAGCCGGGGTAGAATAACCGCTAGTATTCCAATAATCTCTGCTATTTCTAAAAGCTCCCGCTGAAGTTGAAGGAGATTGAACGTTATTTACTCAAAATAAAGGAGTTAAAAGTTAAAGAAAATATTCAAAACCTTTAGTATATCCAAAGCCTTTGTCTTTTCCGAACGAAGTTGTGCTCATCTAATTTGTTAAAAATCTGAAATTAAAGATTAATACAAAATAAAAATTGAAAAATAAATAAAATGATATAAAACAAAAATTGAAATTTCAAAAAAAGTAATTAAAATTTTTATTAACATTTTAACATTTAAATAAGAATTTAATAATCACACAAAAATAAATACACAACTTTTTAACTTCCTTTTCAATTTCGACTTTTAATCATTGCTGGACTGAACCCTGCTTCTTTTGATTAGCAACAATATAATGGTAGAGAATAACCAAAATGAATATTCCAACACCCAAAACATTCTGTAAATTTTTAATAGAGAAAATTGAAAGTAATTTAAAAAAATACCGCCATTACACCAAGTTGCACGTCAGTAATCATTTTCCTAAAAACTTTATCAGCAATGTCAATAAATAATATATGTATTCGTCAAGAAATTCTAAAATTAAATTTAATCAAAAAATAAAATCCACCAAAACTAAAACACCAAAATTAAAATACAAAATAATCAACAAATGACACGAATAAATTAAAAACAATTAATTGTTAATGTGTAAAAGTTTTTGAAGTTTAACAAATTAAAATATTTTATCTTCTTGTTGACATTTCGAAAGAGATAAAAAATAAAATTACAAAATATCTAATTACAAAAGATATCAATTTTCTAGTTTTGTTATCATTCACCTCTTTTAATTTCCTTTTTAGCTAAAAATAAATAGGTATTTTTAAACTTATTTTTAATTTTCTTTAATATGGACGATATTCCAATGGTTGATGATGGTGAGAAGTTTATTAAAAATTAATTTAAAACTAATTTTTTATAGAAAGACAACCTAACCAACTTGAAAAAACGAAGAATGCTAAGCCGGCTTTACCTTTACCAGAGCAAGAGGATCGGGAAGAAAAGGCGCGACTTATTTCACAAATTTTGGAATTGCAAAATACACTTCAAGGTTTGGGTTTTATATGAAATATTTGGAAATTTCGGTAAAAATTAAATTTATGTGACACCTTTTCTAATTTTGTCATGTCCCTAGAAAAAAAGAATGAAGTGTTTTTTCAATATTGTAGAGATTTACCAGTAGATAAAAAGGTGTGCTGATTCAGTGTCAGAATATTAGTTCAAATTTTATATTTCTTACTCCGGACCCTAATTCGAGCTGTTAGTTTATCCATTTTAATTTATAGTAAATTGAATTCTACCTGATCGGATTAGGATCAGGGATCCGAAATAAATAAAACTTTATTATCTACTGGTAAATCTCTAAAATATTGAAAAAACACTTCACTCATATTTCTATGGAGATGGCAAAATGATAAAAAAGGTGTCCCATAAATTTAACTTTTACTTAATTTTCATTTATGTTAGGTAATTTTAGGCATTTTTTAAAGAATTAATTCTTTTTGAGTTAAAAATCATTTCCTTTTCAGATTTGAGTCAACGCGTAGAAAGTGTTCGTGAGGAAAGTTTAAAATTAAGTTCTGAAAATATTGTATTGGGCAAATATATTCGTAATTTAATTGGTTCTAGTTCATTATTTCAACCAACAAATTCAACAGCAAATACGCCAAAAGAACCAAACGAATAAAAATTTATATATTTTTTTTTAAACAATATAGATTACTTAAAGTATTTTTTTGTTACTATGCGTTTACGAAGCTCATTCTTTTCTCCTTGTTTCTCATTTTTCAAAAATATTACAAAATGGTCAAAGGCAGGTAAATTAGGATTAAATTACGGTATTATCTACTTTTCAATCATACTTCAAAGGCCTCTATTAGAGGGAGTCATTCAAATGGAGGGTCTATTCCATAGTTTATTCGTCCTCCAAAGGGCATTCTATTGGAAGGGTAATTCAAATTAACGGGTTATTCTATTAGAATAATTTAATTTTGTAATAGTATAACCATTGTTTAATATTTTTGAAAAAGGAGGAAAGGAAGAGGAGTTTAAATGCATAGTAACTATTTTTTAACAAATTTTTAAAAAGAATTTCTTGCCATTGCTTTAATTGCATTTTAATTGTTTGATCTCTGTTTAGTGTGTATTTTTTGAATAATAAACTAATTTTTTTGTTTTTTATTCGAGAATCTATTAAACATGCTTAACCCCAAAATTGACTCCATTAAAATTTTTGACAATTAATTTTTTAATAAAGAATTTTTACATACAAGATTTTTAATTTTCGAATTGATTTTTTGCATTGTCAATCGACAATGTCAAATTGCCTCTACATCCACGACTCCATTCAACACTAGCCCCCTATTGGAAAGCTTCCCCTTCCTCCCCTCTCTAAAGCTATTTTAAATTTTATTTTTGCCCATTTACATAATTTTATCCAATTAAATCCCCCCCTCCCTTTATTAATCGGCCTCTCAAAACCTGAAATTTATTTAAAAAATTAAAAGATGAAGATTATTCTTCAAATTACTTTAACTTTGCTGTTTGCAAGTTTGGTTTATTCAGGAAAAAGAAATGAAGCAAGCACGAGTAAAAGTAAAGATACTAAAGGAAGATTAGTTGTAGATGTTGATAAATTAGAAAGTAATAAAAATATATTTACAAAAATATTTTATTTTGTCGTTAGTTAAGATTGTTAACGACCGATTTAATTATACCCTCGGTTTTCGATTATGGCCGGTTTTAGATCCCCGATTTTCTGTGTGTGTGGATCTGTGTGTGAGGGTTAATTTTTGCCTAAATCTTCATCCAGAATATCACATCCATAATATTTTACTTAATTTTTTTCTGCCTAAAAGAGAAAATTTTAGTGTTTTTAATACCATATTTACTTTAATATTACTCATTGTCAGAGTAATTATTTTTTCATCACTCGTTAGAGGTGGTAATTAATCGAGGAAATAAATATAAAAAAGGTAGTCGGGGGAGTATTTTATTCAATCCTTATTAAACGGAACATTTTAAATTTTATACTATTAAGTTTTGATGGGAAGCAATGATTTAGAATTATTCGTAAATGATCAAACAAAAATAAATGTTTTCAAATTTCTGATAATAGAAACTGAGAGGAATTTAAATTCTGAAATTTTAAAATTTTTTGTTGATTCTAGACGGTTTGAACATTTCAAAGAAGTTTATGCAACTATAAAATTAAAAAAGAATAAAAAAAATTACAAATACAAAATGTTGGAAAAAGAATTTGAGGTAAATTATTTTAGTAGACATTTTGGTTTAGAATGTTCAAAATAAAACTAAAATACCGTATATGCTCGAATAATTACCCTGGGTAATTATTGTTTCGACCTCTTGCTGGAGGGGGTAATTAATCGAGAGGATGGGCTAAATTTGGGGTATATCTCAATAAATCGAAGAGGAAATCCATTTATTTTTTTATCTCTCAAAATGTTTCAATAATAAAATTGACAATGATTTTTTCAATATTTTTGAAATTAGAGAAGGAAAGAGAGGGGGTAATTATTTGAGAGAGGGTAATTATTCGAGCATTTACGCAGATATTGGAAAAAGAATTATTAGTCATATAAATTTTTATTTTGAAAATTAAAAAAAAAAGATTTTAGTTAATTTAAAAATTAATTTTGATAATTTGTTTAGGTATTGGATTATATATTAAATTTGTTAAATCAACACAATTTTGTCGATATTTTGAAAATAAAAGAAGTTTGTAACGACGGAGATATAATTGAATTTTTAGAAGAAAATTCTTTAAACGTTTACAACGATTGTAATGAATTGAAAAATATTTTTGAAAGTTATGGTATTGGAAATGAAATGACAGTGTCTGAAAATACTATAGATGAAATTAGAAATTTTTTTGATGAATGGAAAAATATAAAACAAGAAGGGCATGATAATTTTAATTTCAACCAAATTATGGAGCAACTTAAAAAAATTGTCAGCGAAGGTTCAAAGGTTCCAATGGAGGATTTTAACCACTACACATTTTAAAAAACAATACCCATTGAAAACGATTTTTCATCTTTTTACTATTTTTTTTTATTTTTTTTTGGGTTTTATATTTAAGTTTTGAGTTGGTTTTACATATAGACAAAATTTGGGAAATGTTCATTTTTTAGCTTTAGATTATTATTTCTTTGCAAAGTCTCATGTATTGCTTTAAAACTTGTATTGTTTTTCTTAATCTAACAAAAATCTTTCTTTTTTGGATATTGCTTTTTTCCATACATATAAATAGTTGCATTGATATTCTAAATTATTTAACTCCTTTCATACTTTATAAAAAATTTTTATTGTTTTTCACTAAAAATTTATAAACACTTGATGATATTTTTTCGATACAGTATAACTTGGGAAGTCTTTAAGTTAGTCTTCTTTTTTGGATGATAGATTAAAGTAGGGTTTCTCCCCGTCCCCAACGAGGCAAAAACCCCGATCCTAACCCAGAAGGTTCTACCCCAATCCCCGACGCAAACCCCGAGTCGGGGTCGGGGTAACAGATACGCCCTAACATTAAGGATAAAATACATATGTATTTTGGGGCTGCGCCTCAAAATGTCCTACCCTGAAAATGTCCTCCCTTAAAATGTCCTACCCCTTTCCTTTTTCGGAATCCGGGTAATTTGAATTTAAAATAGGGAAAAAGGTTACCGGAAAACCCGAAAAATGTTTCCCGAAAATCCGGAAAATGGTTTCCGGACATTTTCGGAGTTTTTGTTTATTAGGACATTTTAAGGGTTTTTATTCATTAGGACATTTTGAGGGCGCGCCTATTTTGGGAATTTTTCAAAAATTTGAATTCCCAAATTACATTTTGACAAAATAATTCGTCACAAACTAAAAATGTCTAATAGAGTAAACAGATTCATTTCGTCTCATGTAAAGTTAAGAATTAAAATCACAACTGCAAATCAGACTAATCTGAGGTGAAGTTTCGCGCGTGAATTAAACTGCGATAGATAAATGCGAGTCCGTCTTTGATTTTTATGAAGCTAGTTTAAATTTCTTGGTCTTCCTTTTTTTAATTATTGATGGGTCTCACCCTACACAATTTACAGAGTTAATGCAAATTGACCGTGAATCCCAATGTTCATCTTCTGATGAGTCATCAAATGAAACAGAACGTGAACAATCCTATTCAAATTCTATGTTTTTTATTTTGTAATTTAAATATAATTGTTTTTTCAGATGCATTCGGTTGGATCTTGAAGAGAAATGGAAGGCAGATATTGGTATTTCTTTATTAATTTTTTTTGGAAATTCCTATGAAATTATACACATTTTTTGTTGTTTTTGTAGAGGGTTGTTATAGAGGGCTTTAAGGAGGAATTGTGAATTGATTTTCGTGTTTAGATTTGCCCTTTTGCTTTTCTTTTAAGTTTATTCTTTTTTTAAGTCTACAATACATTAATTGTTGATAAACTGCCAAAGCGAAGTCAATCAAAGTTACAACTTGATCTAGAAGGAACTTATCTAGTTGTGTTAGTTTTATTTTATTATATCTAATTTTTAATGTTTGATTGAAATTTAGTTTTCTCGAATTTTGATAATTTTGAATTTTTTGGGGCCTCTTTTATTTCCTCCCTAATCCACAGTCTTTTCCATCATTCTTCTGTTTTTCTTTGTTAGAGTACTAATTAAATTTTGATTTATTTGCTATCCATAGGTGAGAAAATGAAATTTGGGAAGAAATAACATAAAATTCTAAATTACTTTTTTTTTCCTAAATATTTTAAGTAAAATAACTTCAAATGATCAAAAATCTTTAATGAAATCAGCAAACAATGTTTTTGACATGTGCCAGTTATCTAAAAATTGTATTGAGACTGTTGGAGCGTATAAATATCAACCAATCAATTCTGTTAAGAGAATTAAAGAAAAGAACAATCCAAAGAAGAAGAATGGGAAAATAAATTGTTAAATATGTTCTTTAATTAATTTTATTTTTTATTTAAAAAAATTTTATTAAAATATTTTTTAATGAAATAATTTAAAAGCCGTTAACTTTCGGTTTATATTTTTTATTTAAATATGTATTTAATATTTTTTCTAATTTTGAAAGCCAATGTTCAAAGGATTGCGTTCTAAAATAGAAGACGAGGCAAATCGTCTAAAGTCAACTGTCTCTCAATATGGAGAGAATATTGCCAATCAAGTTCGATCAACCGCGGTATTTTACTTTATATATTTAAATTATTTTCTTTAAAAGAAAAAGTTTTTGGTTTTGAATATTAAATTAGCGAGTTGATTTTTCGAGACTTCTATTTCTAAAATTTAAATCGGTGTTCGTTTCCGTCCCCATAGTTAAAAATACAACCATTTTAATTGCTTGTATGCTTATTAATCCTTTTATTTAGAGCGAGGCAGGAAGTGATATTAGTGGAAGGGCTCGTAAATTCATTGACACTGCTCAACAGCTCGATAAGGAGGGACGTGCAAGTAGTTCGGTAAATATATTATTTGATTAGTTTCGGGGTCATAAGTATTTCAGTATTTAATTTTTGAAAAAATTTCTCTTTTTTCTAAATTTATTCTTATTAGAACGCTGCGCCAGCCGAAGACTTTTTGGACCAAATCGGCAATAAACCTTCAAGACGCCTTTCTAACGCTTCTTTGGAAAGTGGCAACGAAAGCCTTTTAAATGCACAAGTTGTTCCCAACAGCTTGAGATTGTCTGCCTCTCCATTAAATGACATATCTTCGGATACAGAAAGCAATGCTGCAGAGAATGCAGATTTTGATCAATTGGATGAAATGCCTCGGGATAAGGTTTATTAAATTTTTGAGATTTTACATTATTTTATTTTCAAGTTGAATGCAATATTCCAACGTTTTCAAGCTCGTGCAGTAAATTATCGACAAAAATACAAGGAATTGTCTAGCATCTATCGTGAAATTGAGAATGAAAATGAAAAATATAAAGTTTGTTTTTCTTTTTTAACACATTAATTATCTCTAAATTTATTAGAATTTGCTTTCTGCAACTCAAGAAAAAGCCGCTCAGCGTATAGCTAAACTAAAAAGCGATAGAAGTGAATTGCAGGAGAAGTTGAAAGCAATTGGAAGTGGAGAAAAGGTTTATTTATTATTTAATGTTTTTACATTTAGTAGATGGAAATTAAAAATAATGGATTTAAGTTTGATCATAAAAGTCTCATGTTTGTTTTTTAAGGTTGATGAACAAAGTGAAAAAATCAAGAAGCTTCAAGACCTTCTCATTAAATGCAAAGATGAAATAACCTCAAATCGTGGCCGTATCACTTCATTGAACGATGAAAATGAACATTTAAAGAAAGAAAATTCATCATTGTCCTCAGAGAATTCTTCTAATGTTCAACGAGTCACTGCTGAATGGAAGGGTCGTTTTGACCGACAAGAAGAGGAGTGGAACCGAAGGATTTCTGAATGTGAGGAAAAGGCTACAATTGCGATTGCTACTTCAAAAGCTGAAATGCATTCAGCACTTCAACAAAAAGACCAAGAACTTGAAAATTGGATTTCGAAATTTCATACATTAGAAAAGAAAGGTTTGTTTTTCTGATAGCAAAAAATTATTATTATTTTTTAGATGCGGAGGAAAATACTCAATTAAAAGAAAAACTTTCAAGTCTAGAAGAAGCAATATTGACACTGGAACAAGAAAAGGCAGACATGGTCCAGAAATTGTCTCAAGCTAAACAAGAAGGAGTTAAACTGGTATGAAAAAATATTTATATTTAATTATTTTTATAAAATATTTTCAAGGTCAAAGAAAGTGAAGAGCGCAGATACAATGACGCTCTCGCTGTCGAGCTTAAAAAACGGGATGAAGAATGGGGTGCTCGTTTGAAAGAAATGGAAGACCAAATGCAACTTTCTGTCGAAGAAAATGATATGCAACGAAAGACAAGTCATGCTGATCATGAACGTATTACTAGCTCGTTGAAAGAACGAATTGCTGAACTTGAAAAGGTTTTTCTATTTTAATATAATTGTAATCTTATAACTGTTATTTTTCATAAATCAAAATACAATTTATATATTATATTCAAAATTTTAGAATAACGCAAGCGTTTTACTTAAATTGCACGAGCATGAGGAAGAACTACAAGCAAAAACCGAGGAACTTTGTCGTTTAGCAAAAACCGAAACAAATGATAATTCTTGCCAGCAACAACAAAAAATATTTGACGACAAACTTGCTGAAGAGAAGAAGAAAATTGTTGCTGAATACGAAGAAAAAATTTTGCTTATTGAGAAGGAAAATCTAAAGAATAAAGAACTTACAATTTCTGAATTCCAACGTGAGCACAATGAAAAATTAAACGAATTGAATGAAAAATATGATAATGAACGTGTTGAACTACAAACAAAACTTGAAGAGGTAAATGATAAATTATAGACATATTTATGTTTTTTAAAGGTCGAGACAAAGTTTCTGAAAAGTGAGGAAGAAGAGAAGGCGGAGACTGTCATTAAGTCGTTGGAAGGGCAGTTGAGTGAAGCTAGAATGACAATTGAGAAATTAGAAATGGATATTGCACAAATTCGTCAAGAAAATGAGGTGCCGTTATGTTTTTCTAATTAATAATTGATGTTTTAATTTTAGCTAAAAAGCAAGGATGAAACCCGTTATAAGGATTTGCTTGCTACTCAACAGAGAAAAAGTGATGAGGAATGGAATGTCCGTGTTAAAGAGCTCGAGGAGCAGTTAAATCTTTCTGTCCAAGAGAATGATCTTCTACAAAAACAAATAGCTGATGATGAGCGTATTACAAATGATTTAAAAGAACGGATTGAAAGCTTGGAAAAGGTTTTATTTTGATTTCAGTTCTAATTGTTTAATGAATTTAGACCAATGAAAGCCTTCAAAAATTGATTGAACAAAAGAAAGAGGAAACACCAGAACATTCTGAAGAACAACAAAAAATATTTGAAGAAAAACTTGAAGAGGAAACGAAGAAAATTATTGATGAATATACAGAAAAGATTGCGCTAATTGAAAAAGAAAGCCTTAAAGCTCGTGAGGATGTACTTATCGAACAACGAAAAATTTTTGAAACACAACTTGCAACCGAAAAGAAACAAATCGTCGATGAATATTCAGAAAGGATTTCAACTTTAGAGGCTAAAGAACTTTCAGTACAGCAAAAGATTTTTGAAGAAAAACTTTCCAATGAGAGGAAGAGATTAATTAATGAATATTCTCAAAAGATTTCTTTACTTGAAAAAGAGGCCAATGAATCTAAACAACAGGCGCTTTCAGAACAACAGAAAATCTTCGATGAGAGGTCTGCAGAGGAAAGAAAGAATATTATTGAGGAGTATTCTGGAAGGATTGCTAGTATTGAGAAGGACGATATTGAAGTGAAGGAACGTTTAATTTCTGAAGTTCGGATTGAAAATGATGAGAAGTTGAAGGAATTAACTGAGAAATGTGAAAAGGAATGTGACATGCTTCGAAACAAGCTTTTAAAGGTGGGATTGAAAATATTTTCTGATTTTTTCTGAACATTTTTTGCTTTATTCTTTTTTAAGAGGAAGGGGGGGGGGCTTTTTTGGTAATTTTTTGTATTACTAATAAATTAAAGAATCTGGCTTTGGTCTAGTTTATACGTCCAATAAACTTTTGAGTTTTCATAAGAATCAACATTTGTCAATAGCCTTAAGAAATTCCTTATAAAAATGTTTTTCTAATCTATCATAAAATTTTGATTGGACGCATAAAAGTTCATAGGACGCATAAACTGGACTAACACCGCATTTTTAGATCGAATCGGAAAATCTGAAATACAAGGAGGCAGAATCAGCAGCACAAATTACCATTAAATCCTTGGAAGAACAGTTATATGAATCACAAAAAACAATTGGAAAGTTTGAAGCTGATATTGTACAACTTTGCCAAGAAAATGCAACAAAATTGACTGAGAAAGAAAATGAAGTCGCTAAGAGAATTGAAGAATTTAAGAAAGAATTTATGGAGAAGAAGGTGACTGACGACCAAAATTTCAATAAAGAAATTATTTCATTAAAGGAAGAATTGGAGGAATATAAAAATAAATTCGAAGTACTTCAAGTTACATCTAAACAAAATGAATTAAATTATAATGAAGCAATTGAAGCTTTAAATCAATTAAAAATTTCCTTAAAGGAAAGTAATCAAAAATCTGAACATTTGGCTGCTGAACTTCTTGAAGAAAAGTCTAAATTGAGCGATTCACAGTCTAAACAGGATACTCAAGTAAATTATGAATCTTTAAAGAATTAAAAAAAAATTTATTTAGATAAGTGAAATGAAAGAGGCGCTTTCTTCATGCGAACAGTTGAAATCGCAATTACAATTAGAATTAAAGAACGCAAAGCTTGAACTTAAGAAGCAGCAACAAAATGAAAAACTATTGAATGGTAATTTCAAATATTTTTAATATAACTCAAAAAATATAATTTAGACAAAACTTCTGAGTTTGAAGAGACTAACAAAAAATTTTCTGCTTTTAAATCTGCCAAGCTAAATGAAATTGAAAATCTCAAAAAGAGATTAACTGAGTCTGAAGAAATTAGATTGAAGGAAGTTACGGAAATCAAAAGTATGTTTCTTCAGTATTGTCTAAGCTTTGTGCATTTTTAATTTAGAAGAATCTGAGAAGGCAAAACAGAAAGCAATTGCTGATATGAAGTCAGAAATAAAGCATTTGTATGATAGTATTAATGAGAAGGATTGTGAATTGGCTTCAACTCATGCTGACATTTCTGTGTGTTTTTAACTGAAATTAAAAATATTTCTTTTCATTTCAGAAACTCAATGAAGAACTAGACAAATTACGATCAGAATTGGATAAACATAATAATTCTGAAAGTGGGCATCAACAGCAAAAACAACGTTCTAAAGGTTCTTATGATGACGATGGAGTTGTTGACCTTGACGAATATGTTGACTTGAAACGTCGATTTATTGAGCAGGAAGAGGAATTAATAAGGCTTAAATCTATGACAAAAAATGGAGTTAAGGTGAAATAAATTTTAAAAATTCAAAAAAAAAAAACGAAAAAAATCTTTAATTTAATTTTAGAAAGACCCGCCAAATATCAGACGTGACAGCAATCGATCATTCCAAGTGGGCGGTAGTGACCTTTTAAATTTTGCTGAACCTACAGAAGCTGAATATTTACGCAATGTACTTTACAGATACATGATTGAACGTGAATATTTGGGCAGAGAAAGTGTGGTAGGGTTTTGTGAATTAAATATCTTTTCGCTTATAATCTTTTGTAAATTATGATTTTAATTTTTTTTATTTTCCAGACACTTGCTAAAGTCATCTGCACTGTTTGTAAATTTCCACCAGAACAACGAAACTTAGTTCTTCGCCGAGAGGAGGCTCGCTGTCAACGTTGGCTCCCAGGTTCGATACATGCACTTAATTTACATCAAAGTCAAGTTAATCAGCGTAATCGTCTAAATAGTTTAAATAATTGGAATATTAGTAGTTCTGCTCTTTTACAAACAAATAATTCTGATAGACCTTTATCTAATATTAATGCACTCCCATATTCTTAATAGATTTTTTAAAAATATATTCCTAACAAAAACTAAAGATATATCATAAATTACATTAAAAATACATAATTGATATTAAGTAATTCTATTTTTTGTGCTGTCTTTAAAGTTTTTTTTGGTTTCTCTATAATAATTGTATACATGTTCGTTTTCTCACTGACTTTTTTATATAAATATTTTTGTGATTAGTAAATGTTTGTTTAATATATGTATGATAATACTTTTACTACAGCTTCCAATTTTATATTTTCATGGTCAGCTTTTTCCGTTTTTGACTAAATTTTGGTTTTTGATTTAAAGATCGTGTATTAAATCCTGAATATTAGAGAATTAATTATTGTCGATATATGTGATTTATCGTTTATTGTGAAAAACTTTGTTTTTTTTGCTATTTTACAAAAATGTTTTGCTTAAATTAAATATAAATAGTATGTTTGTGCGGTGTACGGAATTTTGGTCACTGGAATTCTGGTCACCAAGGATTTTCGGAACTTTGGTCACCAACTTTTTTGGAATTTTGGTCACTAGCGGAATTTTGGTCACCAAGTCAATAAACGGAATATTGGGCACTGAAATTTTGGTCACCAAGAGGAATTTTGGTCACCAAACGGGAAAAACAAATCTTATCTAGAACTGATATCAAAGTAATAAAAAATGATTTTTCAACCTCCTGTTGATCAGTTTCAATGTTTATCACTCTTCCGGCTGATAACTCTCTCGGTTGATCACTCTCAATCACTTTCCCGGAAGATTGATTAACCGTGAAAGTGTTCAACATTGAAAATAATCATCAGGTAGTTGAAAAACAATTTTTTAACACTTTGATATCAGTTCTAGATAAGATTTGTTTTTTCCTTTTGGTGACCAAAGTTCCTCTTGGTGACCAAAATTCATTGTCCAATATTCCGTTTATTGACTTGGTGACCAAAATTCCGCTAGTGACCAAAATTCCAAAAAAGTTGGTGACCAAAGTTCCAAAAATCCGTGGTGACCAGAATTCCAGTGACCAAAATTCCGGCACCCGTTTGTGCTTGACTGCTGTGATTTTTTTGGTTTTTATAAAATTCTCAAAAATAAAGCTTTTGTCCAGATTATGTGTCCAATTGCACCTTTGCACGTCCAATAACCCTTTAGCGTCCAATCAAATTTTGTGCGCCCTATCTCTATTAACTTAGATTTTATGGTACTAAAATGAAGAACCGGGTACTTAAAAATGTGCGCCAATATAAACTGCACTTTTTTAGTCTAAAATTTATCTTAAATTATATTTAGGCAACGTCTCAAATTCTGCTGTAGAATTAGCTCGTCGTTATTCCCCAGGAAGACGATCTGATTATGATAAATTATAATTAGTGCATTGTTAGGCAATCCCGGAGAATTGGGGTCCCTGCGAAAAAAAAGTTTAAAAATAAGAAAAAGGATTTTTCTAGGGTAAAAAAATACGCTGATTACGAATCTGAACTCGGATTTTGAAAAAGTCGAATCCCGAACCCGAACCAAATTTCGAACCCTGAACCCGAATTTCGAATATGCAAATGATAGCTCGTTCGAAAGAGCTCGTCGAACTGCATCGAATGACACCAAAATCAACGTGATTGAACCTGTTTAGACAAAGTTATGACATAAAGTAAACCCTTGGGAGTACTGTAAGAGACGGCGACTTATGTCATAACTTTGTCTAAAGTTGATCAATCACTGTAATTTTGGTGTCATTCGACTTAGCTCGACGAGCTCTTTCGAATGAGCTATCATTTGTAAAAACTTTTTTTTACTCCAAAAAATCACCCATGTGGTTTTTTAATATTTAGGGGTCTGTATTTTAGGGGTCTGTTCATTGATTTTGGTATCATTCGATGCAGCACGATGAGTTCTATAATTCTATTGAAGATTGGCCATTTTTTACAATTTCTGATAATGTTCGGGGTCAAAAGTCCTGTTCGGGATCAAAAGTCCGAATTCGGGTTCGGGATTCGACTTTTTCAAAATCCGAGCTCGGATTCGTAATCAGCATATTTTTTTACCCTAGAAAAATCCTTTTTCTTATTTTTAAGATTTTTCCCGCAGGGACCCCAATTCTCCGGGATTGCCCATTGTTATATTATTGTATATATTGATCTGAATATATAAATTTTTTAGTTTTTTCAAACGTGAAAAAAATTAAGAATTTAATCGGTTCGACTTATCCATCAATGACAAAATTTTAAAAGTTAAAATTAGGCCAATCTTTGATAATTAGTAATATTTTTCAAATTTATTTTTTATTTACATATGTATTATCAAAAATAATAATCAAATTGCTATAATATTTATGCAATCATATTTACATTTTAAAAATTTAAGTAATAAGTTAAGATTTATTTCGTTACGAGCCAATTATTTTGTTATTTAGTTCTTATAATTTTAATTCAAAATTGGAGTAAGCACGCGACTGTCGAATAATTTTTATTATTAAGATATGCTTTATAGTATTTACTATAAAAGTTTAATTTTACTTAATTTTTTATCAAAATTCACAACTTTGCTCTATTGTTATCGTTCTCTCAAACTTGTTTTTGGCGTTGTCTTCTTTTTTCCACGACGTGAGTTCTTCTATTTTGATAAATCCTCAAAATCTTTAGTTAAATTTCATAGCAATTTTCAGCATTCAGCTTTCAAAAAGCGCTAAAGTAACCAGCAAAATAAGCATTCGAATGATGTTGAAAGCTTTATTCTCATCATTCAACTCAAAAGCTGTACTTCTCTTCACATTTTTTACTTTTTTGCTACCGAATAGCAATTCGAATTCTATACGTATTAGAGAAGAGTCTGCCAACCCGAACTCCGCGAAGTTGGAAGAATTGCTTTATGCAATAAATAAGGATAATGAACCAGTCAAAAGTTACACAATTACGGGTTTTGTAAATTGGACGTTTTTTAATAGTTCAATAGAGGTGCCTCGAAGTAAAGAGGGAGAATATACGTTTCTGATAATGATTGGAGTGGATATATTTTTAGTGATTTTTGTTTTGATGGTGAATTAATATTTTAAAATATATTTAATTTTTATTTCTTTAGTTCCTCGGTTATGTCATTTCTAAATGCTTTATCAAATTTAGAGAAAACTACACAGAGTTATTAATCCAAAAGCAGGCAAATGAAACACAAATGGAGACAAGAGGTCTTCAATCATATGCCCGATCTTTAGCTTTGAGAGGAATACAGACTAAAATGAGAGGAAGGAGGCAATTAAGGGCAATTGGTAGAGTAAGCAATTTGAGCAGAATAAGCATTTTTGAAGAGAAAGGTTTTGGAAAGAAAAAAGGTAATTTAAGCTTTTTAAGCCATAAATTATCTAAATTTTAGGTCGTCAAACTCCCATAACACTTTCTGTCTACGAAAAACTTTCTGATTCACTACGTGAGGGTTTACCTGTTCCACCTGGTTTTAAAAAAGGAAAAACAGTTGAATCAGAATCAAATACAGGTGTGTTATTTGATTTTCTTGGAGTCTATTGTATGTCCTTATATTTTAGATAAACAGCCAGAAACACTTCCTGCTTGCGAAAAATTGCCCAAGTCATTACGTGAGGTTTTGTCAGTTCCGCCTGACTTAAAGAAAGGTAATGTTTATTAATTTAAAAATACCCTCGAAAATTAATTTTAGATCAAAAACCTGCATTGACAATTTCTGAATACGAAAAACTGTCCAACTCTTTACGTGAAGGTGTGCCAATTCCTAAAGGTTTTGAGGAAATAAAACTTTCTATTACTCCGGTTATTAACAATAAAAAAACTCCAGTAATTCAACAACAAACAAAAATTCAACCAAACACAAAATCATCACCACCAACACTTCCTCAAGCTACAAAAAATAAAAATAATGTTAAAGAAGAAGCCAAGAAATCTAAGAAAAATGAAACTAAAATTAAGGAAGAAAAAAATACAAAGAAGGAAAGTAAAAGGAGTGAAACAATCAAAACAATTCCAAAATTAGAAAGTAAAAAAGTCAGTCAAAAAACATCAGAAAATTCGAAAGAAGAAAAGAAAACTGTCAAAACTTTAATTGAAGAGAGTAAACCGAAAACTTTAAAAAAAGGACAGAAAAACGTCAAAACTTCTCCGATTGTGGAAAATAAGAAGAAAGTTACAAATCAAAAAGAAAACAAAATATCAACATCATCAAGTCCAAAAGTCGAGAAGAAGACTGCAAAAAGTTTAAATGATGAACAGAAAGTGAAGACATCAAAAGTTGACAAAAAGACAACAACAACAATGACAACTTTAACTCCAAAGAAAGAACAAAAAAAGGGAGGTAAAAACTCTGATAAAAACTCAACAGAAACAGCAACTCCAAAAAAGAATCAAAAGTCAAAAGTAGAGAATTTAAAGGAAAACAAAAATATTTCTGTCAAAACTTTTAGAGAAGAACAAAAAATAGAAGAAGAAATTCCTCCAAAAGAATTTAAAAAAGAAGAGGAAATTCTTCAAAAAGAAGAAAAGAATTCAACAAAACTTGTTGGTGAAGAAGAGGAAAATTCTACAACTACAGGAAGTTTATCTGATTAATTTAAAACATTTTTTGTTTGTTTTTTATTGTTGTTTGTTGCTTTTACATATTTTTTGTATGTTTTAATAAATTTAATTTTTTAACAAAAAAAAGAATTTAAATACCACATTTCTTTAAATAGAGCCCCACCCTCTAATATAGCCCCACTTTTGAAGATTGTTGAAAAATACAGCCCCGTGGGGCTGTATTAGAGAAAATACGGTATTAATCAAAATGTTTTGTTTATTCCATTATTTAATAGAAACGGTTAATTTATTGTAAAAAAATCTTGAAAGGAATCTCAGTTCATATGCATTTCCGCAGATAGAGAGTGGTAGCATTCGACTCAGCTCGTCAAGACAAATCGAAGGGTTTTGGAGTGATCTACCGGCTTAAGTACAGCCTAGCTGATATTCTTTAACAAATCAGAGAAAGTAAATTAAAGTCTTATTTGTTAGAATGAGTTATTTGCTGAAACTATTCGAGGGTTTTCAGAAGGAATTTGAAGATTTTAAGTTTTTCTATTTTTTTAAATAATTTTTACATTTTTATAAAAATTTCGTTAAATAATTTATAAAATAAAAATCCCAAATCTCCAAATATACATTAGAGATCGAAATATTTTCTATCTTAAATAAATGATAGACAAAATAAAGATTTGACTTAAAATTATTCTGACGAGGTTATTCTAAAATATGTAGAGATTAATCCCTAAAAAGACTAATCCCTACTTTTTAACATTAAAAAAGGGCCCAATAATTTTTAAATTTCGATCTCTACATAATTCCCAATTTTAACTTAAAATATCACTCAAAAAATAATAACTTTTTCTTCTTCTTCCCAAAAATTACTTCAAATTATCCATATACTTTCCCAAACTTCCTCTATTATCGTTTTCTACCAAATCAGAAATTTTAACACTACTGTAACGCAGTGAACTAAATTTCTTTTTGTTCTTTATACTTTTCTTTGAATTTAAAATTTTTGTTGCAATTTTCTCGAAAATATAAATTTCGAAATCTTTTGGAATCTTTAAATAATTAATTAATTAAATACTTTAGAAGGGGAGTTTTTATTGGCTCAAATGTGGGGAATACATATGCCTAAGTAATTCCCTTAATATATTTCATTTTTTAAGCCCTAAAAACTATTTAAAATTTAAGTTTAAACTGTAATAAAACAAAATTTAGTTTCCAGAGAGTATACAGGGTGCGGCAAAAGTTCCCGTACTTTTATTAAACATAAGATTTATTTCAAATATCTTCTTAGATTTTATAAAATTTATAAAAAAGTGTTTATTAATATCCAATGAAAAGAAAAATTATAACAAATGTCCAAAATGTCCTCCCTCCGCCAAGATATACGCGTCCAAATGCTTACTAAATTTGCCCACTATGGTCGCGCACTCATCCACAATAATTGAATCCCAGTCAAGTTGCAACCCCGCCTTTCACAACAGACAAAATCATAGGCAATTGCTTCCAAGGAAAGGCCTTGCTTCCAAAATTGTTAAAAAAAGCTTCTCTCGACAATCTGTAATAGTGTGGGCCGGGATTTATGCCACTGGATCACTGGGCACAAAAACAATGGATCTCTGGGCACAGCAACAATGGTTTTGGCCGGAATGTGTTCCATTACATTCCTGGGCACAGCAACACTTAGATAAAACCAATTTTATGCCGCAGCAATATTGGGCCCCTTCACATTGAGCAAAAACAATGATTTACCTCTGCGAAGAGTTGTTTCCAGGATTTTGGGGCAAAGACGTTTATCCAAATAACTCCCCAGATCTTATTGGAGCAGAGACTTCCATGGATACGATTTATATCAAAAGATGTAAATAAGAGGGATTGCACCTGGTCTGGGACTCAATTACTGTGGTTGAGTGTGCGACCATATTGGGCAACTTCAGTAACTTCAGTAACTTCAGTAAACTTCAGTAAAATTATAACAAATTCTTAGAAATTTGTTATAATCTTTCTTTTCCTTAGATATTATTGAACACTTTTTCATAGATTTTATAAAATTTAAGAAAATATTTGAAATAGATTTTATGCTTAACAAAAGTACGGGAACTTTTGCCGCACCCTGTATTATAATTACTCGAAATTAAAGAAAAATAAACAGTAGTACTATCAATGTTAGGGAATAGTCGGCGTATCCCGAATTTCTTCTAAACATAAATTTTTATTTTTTTTATCTAAATACCTCAATATTCTCCAAAGATTTTAATATTCTATCTTTCTCGCCTTCCTCCTCCTTTTCCTCGCTTCCTTTACCTTTTTCTTCATCTTCCTCTTCTTCCTCCTCTTCACTTTCCTCCTCATTCTCTTCAACATTTACAAATTTTTGTATACGAACAAAAACTAACAAAGTTTTTGCTGTATCAATAATTACATTTTTCTGAATTGAATTTGTTGAATTTTTTATATTTTCAATCATTTCTGTTGGAAGTTCCTTGTAATGCAAGACAATTTCATTCATTTCAAAATCCTTTAAAAATGTTTAAAGTAATTTGACATTTTTTCCTTGGACTTTGAAATTATTCAAAATTATTAAACTTAAATTTGTAATGTAAATTGTAAATATTTTTAACATTTTATTCTAACTCATAATGACCTCATAATTTTGGGTACAGCTCAAGTAGGCACGCGGCCATAACTTGCTTCAAGATTGCCTATTCTTTTAAAATTTAGTATTAAACAATTCTTCTCATCGAGCTAAAGAGATTGGTACCTAAATTGTTAAGGTCTAGAAAATTTCCAGGAAGTTATGGCTTTGCACCTACTTGGGCTTGTCCCTCATTTTTTAATAAAATTTTTTTAATTAAATTTAAATATTAATTAATTAATTAACCTTTTTATTATTTTCATCACAAATAGTATAATCAAATATTTTTTGAATAAATATTGAATAAATATTCGAATATTTATTTAAATAAATATTAAATAATTCTTTTTGTTTTTTCTTTGAATCTTCAATTTCAAGCCATTTATTTTCGTAAAGAAAATTTAAAATTTTATTTGTTTGTTTAAATAATTGTTTAATTATATTGTTTATAATTAAATAATTATAAATTTTTTTAAATTCCTCATTTATTTCTGTAAACTAAAAAAAGGGAGAGAGAAAGGAAATTCATTATTTATTTTAATATTGTTTGTATAACAATTTTTAAACTCAGACCAAAAAAAAAATTAGGCTCCCGGGGAGTTGATTTGACCTGAAACTTCCACATTGTTCACGGTTATTGGCCAGCCGCATCTGGAAAAATTATTCATTCTTCCCTGCGGAGGCTCCTTCCCGTCGAAACGATCCCTGGAACTTTGCTATCATCTCGTAAACGAGAAGAGATACCGCGAAACTTCCGTTTAGAGGGGCCTGCCCCGCATTTAGTTGATGTCGAATAAAATTTTAATAAATTTAAAAAACCTTTTCATTTTCAACAATATTTTTATTTATTTTTTCAATAGAATTAAATAATTTTTTATTAAAATTCTCAATTAATTCAAATAAATTTTCCTTTTCTTTTAAATTTGATTTATTTTTTGGCAAAGAAAACATTTTATGAATAGAATTTTGTCTTTTATGTGGAATAATTGTTAATTTATCTTTATTTGAATTATTTAGCGAAGAAGAGGATAATAACTCGTTTAGAGTAAATGATTGTTTATTTTGATTCTTTAATTTAAAAATTAATTAGAAAATACAAGCTCGAAAGAATAAAAGTTTAAAAGTAAAATTGTAACATGCTCTCTTCAATTCCTAAATTGAATGGAGATTATTCTTTTCAAGCTTTATTCAAGACGGGATTTGTTCTCTCCAGCCTATCCTTGGTGTGAAAGAAATGGAAAATGTTACCAAAATTGTTAGCTAATTTAACTCTCTTATAAAAAAATTTTTTAAAGAGAATTATTTCACAAAGGGTTATTATCTTAGAATTTACTTTAATCACCTCATCATTATCTAAAAAATTATCTATTTTTGTTGCTTTAATCATAAATTCCTCAATTTCATTAGATGCTTTTATTTTTTGAATTAATGATGAAAATTTATTTTTGATATTTGAATCTTTTTCTATTTCTTTAATTAATTTTTTAATTTTTTCAAAATCTGGACGCAATTTCTTCATTTCCTATTAATTAAAAGATTTTTATGTATTTATTTAAAATATCTTTAAAAGTGTGGAAGACTACATATTTCGAAATAAGACAATTGAACTCACAGATTTTTGAACTTACAGACTTATTTTCAAATCTTCAGCTCACCCTACCTCTATACAATTACTTAAATTTGAAAAATAATAACAAGTCTCGATTTTGTTACCAGTTGACGAAACTCACTCTTATTTGTGTATAATATCAAAAAATCTAACTAAAGATTAATTGTCCTGCATAAATTGTGCTTCAATGGATATACCTACTTATCTTTATATACATATTTTTAAACTTACAAATTTAAAACAATTTTCAATTGATTTTTCTTTTAAAATTATTTGATCAGTTAAATTTGTAAGTTTATTTTGCAGGTAAAAATCATTTTTTTCTAATGAATTTTTAATTGAATTAAATTCATTAATTGGCATTCCATAAATAATTTCCTTTTTAATTTCATCAATTTCGTTAATAATATTTGAATTAAATGTTAATATTTCTTTTAAATTTTTTTCAATTTCACCTTTATTAGTAAATTAATTAAAAGTAATTAAAAAAATTTTACGCCCTAACGAATATTTTGTTAATTTGAGAAAGAAATTTCAATCTAATTTTTAATAAAGCCTTTTAAAGCTAATTTTTTTCAAGCTAGTTTTTTAATTTTTTAAAAATTTTTTTAAAAGTAAATTTGAAAAAAATAATGTCCAAGTATTATTTTATGTGCAATACATTTTTAAAAATTATTTATTAAATAGGAGAGGAATTTCTGGAGATTGAATATTCAAAGCAAATATTTATTCTCTAATATAATTCTCTCATTCAGAATCTCGTAGTAAATTAATCGAGACTGAGAGTTTCCGCCATTTTCTCGGCAATCTTTTGCATAAATTTTTTTACTATTTTTAATTTAACACCAGGAGATTTTTTTTGAAGATAAATTATTTATATATTTTATTTTTATATATTTAATTTATTTATTGAAGGGGGGGGGGGAGGGATAAGTAATTTTATTTTATATTCCAAAAAATTATTTTTTTAAATTTCTTACCATTCTTTACAAAATCATTTCCTTTATTTACAATTTTTGTTAAAATATTTAAACTTTTAATTCCTTCATAAAATGTCGTCACATTTTTATTTAATTTATTTTGTTTATTTTCTAACAAATTTTTAATTTTTTCAGAAATTTCACTTTTATAAAAATTATAAAATAATTTTTCAATTTCATAAGGTAATTGAAAGTTAGAAGATACTTCAATAAATTTTCTCCTTTTGTTTTCAATTTCATTCAAAATTTTATTTAATTTTGAATAAATAAATTCGTAATTGTTTGGAATTATTGAAATTTTGTCGTTTTCAGTTAATTGTTGACATTTTGGTGTTAAAATATCGATAACAGAAAATGAATTTTGAATAATAAAATATTGTAAAAGAAAAAGGAAAAATAAATAAGAAAGTTGCATTTTGGTAGTTTCTAAAAAATATTTAGATATTAAAAGGCAACACCTTGCAAAAGAGATTCTTGGGAAATAATAGGATATCCGGAACAGGAGGGCCGTGAAGATAATTTTTGTGGGGCAACGTCGTTATGGGGATACTAAGTGAGTATTCTCCTTTTTCAGCACCGCAGGAAAAATTTTTGTGAATTTTGGAAGGCCAGGAGGCCAAATTTTTAGAAATCCAACCAAAAGTTCCGGGACTATTTTTTTGCTTCTGGATATCCAGAATTGGCAACCCTACTTGCAAAGTGCTGACAATTACTATTAAAAGCATTTCCATAACACTTCCTTTGAATCCTTAAAAGCTAGTAACTTTTTACATCAAAAATAAAAGGAATGAAAGGTAATTCTGATAAAGCCGAAATCTTTATTATAAAAATAATAATGACTCACTAGACAATCTACCTTATAATTCTACTCAATAAAAATTGAGTTTGTGGATAAAACTTCGGCTTTTAGCGCTTTAAAATTAAGCCCCAGTTTTGGACAAAGCCAACTGAAATTGCTTCAGTCGATATAACTTTAAATATTTAAATCGGACTTTCTAGCCAAACTTTTAAATTATTTAAATTAATTTAAATTTTTACCTTAAAATTTTACCTTTAAAATTAAATTTTACTTAGAGAAAAAGAATTTAAGAGAGGAATTGCTTGGATTTGCTTAATGAGTGAGGGCATAATCAGGAGGGATTTTAAATTTAGACAATGGAAGGTAAATGAAGAGGGAAGGCAATGAAGCGCTATTAATTGTCTGAGAGGGGAGAATGAATGACTTAATGGCCAAAGATTAAAAACGTGGTCGATGTTGGGGAATTTATATTGACTTTTAACCATTAGCATTTTCACTACCCATAATTGTATTTCCTTTTACTATATGTATAATGGCAGCCATTCTATTTTTTAAAAACCTTCCTCATTGCCGGTTTAATAGAGAGCCCTATTATATTTAAGAAAATTTTTACTACTGCATTTTCTCGAATAATTACTCTGGGTAATTATTGTTTTACTCGAGGAGTTGGTGGTAATTATTAGAGGAATGGTAATTAACTGAGAAATTAAGTGTAAAAATTAAATATTTACGTGTTGTTTTATTCCAATAAAAAGTATTTTATTAAATTTAACTTTTTAATTAGAGTTGCACTCTGAACCCCACCCCCATTCCCGAAAGATTTTTTCAAAATTTCCTCAACAGAAATGTTGGGGTTTTCGGGGTATACATCCCATAATATGTTATTTTTTAGAGAATTTGAAGAAAAATTCGGAAAATTTTCTCTAAATTAAATCCAATAACAGTTAATTTTGAGTATCGGTTGATTTGATTTATTTCGGAAAACTTCCAAAAAGGTCTTTAGTCAAGACAAGCTTTAATTTAAACAATAACAGAAAAAATATTTTTTATTCTACTCAAAAATGGGGTACTTCACGCGAGAGCTTACAGTAAATTTAATTAACAAAAATTTTTAAAACTTATATCATAAAAGAGATCACACCCTAATCTATCAAAAAATAATTATTTTGGAATTTTTAGGTTGAAATTGGATTAAAAAAATATTTTTAATGCATGCATCCATTTGAAAGCGCATACATTCGGATATTATTTTTGCTAGGAGGACGTATCATATTTCGGATATGACACGATTTAATTTATAAGATGTAAATGTCAGAGGAAAAATCATCGACATAAGCAATTTCTACTACTTTGAAAAAAGTTTGTTTTGGAGAAATTAAAGAAGTTTTGGGAAATTTCTCAAATCGGGTTTCAGATCGAGAAAAAGTCCAGAATGCTGGTAACCCATCCCATCCCAGTTTTCCAAAAACCTTTCACTATCTTAAAGCCATCCTAATACCACCTCTAAACCTATTCCCTAAAACAATATTCAAAAACACATATTCAAATACAATATTTATTTAGCAATACATACAACATACATATATTATAATAGAGCGCACAAACAATATACAAATATACATTTCAAGATATGGTATATATACAAAATAGGGTAGTAGTACATATAATACTCCCAATGCGCGCAAATATATAGGAAGATATATTATATGAGGGAAATGGGAAGAGGAAAATAATTATGGGGATACAATTTAGGTAAATGTTGAATTATTTTAGATATATTATCCTATCACAATTATCTTCACCTCTCTTCTTCTCTCCCGCTCCTCTCTACTTCTTCGACGTTGCCCCTCCAGCCTTCGATGTCGCTCCTCCCTTCGTTGTCCCCGCAGCTTTCGATGTAGCACCGCCAGCAGTTGTCGCTCCACCGGTTTTGGCTTGCGTCCCTCCAACAGTAGTCATTCCGCCGGTCTTTGCTTGGGTCGCTCCAACGGTCGTCCCACCAACTTTGGTCTTCGTCTTCGTACCTCCAGCACCGGTCATTCCCATTTCCATTCCCTCTTCTTCTTCACCTTTTCCGCGGAGCACGAAGAACCAGACAAGGCCACCAACTACAGCAAGCCTACAATTTTATTTTGAATGTAATTTTGTTAAATAACCCAAATCAAAAATATAAAACTCACAGGACTACAACGGCAATGACGATGCCAATGATGAGAACCATGTTACTGCCGGAAGCTTCAGTTCCACTAGATGGACCAGACGTGGTCGTTTCAACAGGAGCAGTGCTTCCATCAGGACCAATCTTTCCATCAGTCGGATTTGTCTCAGGAGGAGTACTACCACCAAGCTGTTTGAACCGGCTACCACTCTAAAATAAATAAAAATTTTGTAAACAAAATATTTTAAATTTATTAAATAAATTTTACCAGTCTGAGGGACATCTCGCACTTTGGACCTTTGGACCCATCAAGCTTGTTGTTAAGTTCAACTTTTTGTCGATGTGACGTATGCTTGGGTACAATCTTCAGTGGCAGAATGTTCAGCGTGAAGAGATGATTGAAGGTACTGCTCTTATGCGCCTCGTCTGTGATCTCCCATTGCTCAGCCTTGCGAAGAACCTTTTCAGTGTGGCAGTATTTTTCATGCTGATCGTAGTCCAATGCGTTCTTCCCTCCGCAACCGTGAGGAGACGACACCCGCCATCCTGAATATGTTTTTGGATCGAAGTTGATTGTGATAGACGCGATGCTTTCGGCCTTATTTGTTCCAGAAGCGCAGTACCAGATTCTCGGCTCACCAACTAAGAAAAATAAATTTGATTAACAATCAATGATTGCTTATTTAAATGATCAATGATAATTATTTAAAACTCACGGATGTGCACGTTGTAGAGCATCATGTCACCCCTTCGTCCAAAAGCAACATCGAACTCGGTCGATACCAGGCATTTTCCGAAACGTTCGTTCACACATTTTGTGTGACACTCAGAGGGGGCACTTGTTTTAAGCCCTTCTTGCACCAACTTTTTGAACCCATCTTCCCCCAGACTGAAGGTGAACGGAAACCTAAAGAAAAATTGCATCAGGTCAGTAAACTTTAACAGAGATAATTCACTCACAAATTCTCGTCGCCGACCCTCTCATCCTTAACGGTATTCCCATCAGCCACAGCGTCCGTCAAGCATTCCATCAGATTCCCGGTGACGTTGAATTCCAGCTGGATTCCTTCTGGATTCATGAGCAGATCAATGGAGCATCCTTCCAACGCATGTTTATGGCCCTTTTTGTACTTGATGATCCTGTAAAAAATTAAAAACAAAATTTTTAAAATATTTATTTTAAAAAATAAATGTTCTTACATATCGCCCGCGTTAGGACCCGGTTCAACTTCGCAATCAGTCCCTTTGCCTGTGACCAGCTTTGTGATCTTGTTGCCCTTCCTTTCATGCTTTGCAAATCCAACCAGGTCGCACCAGACAACGCACTCGAGCAGCAACAGAGCGACCGTGAGCAGAAGAAGAGCACGCGAAACCAGAGCCGATGTCGAGGCCATCCCGTTGACGCCTGAAGAGTTGCAGCAGCGCTTCCGCATTACAGGTACGTCGACGAACGTAGATGAAGAGAATTTGTTGTAGATGATGATAGAAGATTGATAGTTGTGTTGTTAAGGGAGAAGAAATGATCGCGTTTTTATAGTGTTCCTCTCACAAAAAAAAGAAACAGACTTTGTTGCGTAATATAAAAGCTAGTCTCAGCATCAGTCTAGTTGGATCATACTAGACAGCTAGTTCCTGATCCCCAGTGCTCGTCAACCGTCCGGCAACTAGTGCTCAACAACTGTCCGGCAACTAGTGCTCGTCAACAGTCCGGCAACCAGTGCTCGTCTACTGTCCGCAACCAGTGCTCGCTCATCAACAGTCCGGCAACAGATCGTCTACAGGCGTGTTCTGATCGACAACAGCAACAGTTGAGACTAGTACTTAATGAAATATTGTGACGGTGTAGTGAATTGCTGATTTGAGGTAGAGATTGGATTGTAGGTGTAGGAACAGCGTAGTTAGTGAGCGGCATGAGTCGAAATTGAATTATTTATGGGCAGTAGACCTTTTGTGGTAGTAACTGGAAAAGAGGACTTAGTGTGGTTGCCAGTAGTTTTAAGATAGAGAGGAGTTGCCTAGTGGTCCTGAAAGTGTAGGCTAAGTTTTCTCTCTCAAAAAAATCCTCTCTCAAAAAATAAATAGGCTCTCTCAAAAAAGAAATAGACTTCTCTCAGAAAGAGAAGAGAGCGATTATGGAAGAATTCGGTTATGGAAAAAATAAAATTATTTAATAAAATTTTTCTGAGAACTTTTTTTGAAAGACTATCACAAACTGTCAGCCAATCATTTTATAACCTATGGGTAATTATGTAAAATAATGCTTTTTCTCTTCAGTCTCTTCAGAGTCTTGCTAGGTAAAGCAAAGAAATTACATTGAATTGAAAGACATGAATTACATTTCTTAGCAAATTAAAAAATCTAGGAATTCTTTTACAAAGGGTTTTTCAAAATTAAGAATTTGGGTTTTTCAGCCTTCTGAAATTTCGGATTCGTATATCGAAAATTTTTGTTCGAATATCTTTCCGGATAATTCTTAAATTATTGAAAATTGCTTAAAATTCCTTAATTATTAAAAAATTTTTAACACAAATTTCATTTGGAAAGCTATCAAAGGATTAAAAGCGATATGGCTGTTGGCTGCTAAAATTTTCTCTTTAGAGCTCGAGTAATACGTGTATTATGATCACGAGTTTCGAGTCGAGTAATTACGCAAAAAACCCTAGCGGTCGGGTCGAGTAACTCGTACTCGCTCGACTCGGACGTACTCTAGTATAAGTATAACCAATTCTGGTCGGCAAAAATTCAATAGGAGATATATTTAAAAAATCTACCATCTAAACTCAAAAACACGGTGATTCAAACAATTTTTTAATTTTTTGAGTCAAAACTTTAATGTACGGTATTAATTAACATTTTAATTTAAATATTTTAACTGGAAAAATTATTTTCACTAAAATAAATTATTTAACTCCTCCCTATCCTCCCCCCCCCCCCCCAACGCCACGTTAGTACACAAACAAAACATCTGCCACATGCTCAACGCGTGCTAAATATACTACATGTATACCTATTTAGTATTTTATATACTATTTTTAGTATATTATACTACATGTATATTTTACATAGTTTTTACTACATTTAATTCTACTTAACCAGTAGAATTGGAGATTAAAGGTCCTCTAAACTAGAAATTAAAAATACTGCCGTCCTGATTCCTGAAATTGTGACTTTATTTTTTATGTCGACAGGAATCCCTGGCACGCATAAAATCTGCCATATGCTTAGCAGTTGCTCCGTCTCCACTTTCCAGTCAGCACGTTTCATGTCCACGGTAGTCCCCTTGTATATGTCCATTCACGATAGTCTAGGGATTTATATCAACAAAAAGGGATTTGGATGGATTAAATTAAAGTTGTGGGGGATTGTGGGGGTTCTAACTTTCAAGATTAAAATTAAATATTTAATTTTAATTTTAAATTTAATTTATTTAAAATATCGATATTTCTATAATCAATAATTTAAATTTTCTCTCTATTAAATTTTCCCTTCATTATTGGCAATAAATATTTTTAAATCAATTTTTTTTAATTTTTTTCATTGTTAAATTTTATCTCCATTTTAAATTTTTATATTTTTCCTTTGTTAAATTAATTTATTAAAAAATTATTTTTTAAAAATTAGAATTTTAATTCTCCAAATTTGGGAGAATTATGAGAATTGACCTTTTATTTTTATTAATTTTTATTTTAAAAATAAATTGGTGCAATGGAGGTTATTTAAATAAATATTTTTTTTATAAATTAACTAAATCGAGGAAAAAAATTAATTTATAAATAAATTAATTTTTAATTTAATTTCGATAATTAAAAATAAAAAATAAAATTTTATTTAAAAGACGAATTAATTTAAAATAAATTTTAATTAAAATTAAAAATTATATTTATTTATTTTTAATTTAATAATTATTTAAATTAAAATTTAGAAAATACAAGGAAAAATGAAGAAAAAGGAAAAAATTTGTTGATAAATGAAACGAATGAAAAATTGGAAAATGAAAAAGAAGATAATTAATTTTAAATAAAATAAATATATTTAAAATTATTTTTTTTATTTTGTTTAAATTCTCCCATCTTTTGGATTTTTTAAATTTTAAGAAAATTTCTAAAATTAAAAAAACACAAATTCTTTTCTGATTTTTAAAATTCTTTGAAATCCTTTAAATAAAATAAAAAAATATAATTCTTTTTTTAAATAAAGAAAATCCAAAAGAAGAAGGTGATTGGAAGGAAGTAACTAGAAGAAAATGGAAAAAATCAACAAATAAAATTAATGCAGTTAACGCTCTTAAACAAAAAAGTTTTTTTAATTTAATTTAAAAAAATTAATTTTTAATTTTAAGAAGAAATAATTAAATCAAAAGAAGAAGATATTAAAACTATAAATAATTTAGAGCCTAAAAAAGGCAAAGTTGGAGGAGAAAATATGAATTTTTGCCAATTAGTAAATAAAAGAGAAAATGTACAAAAATTTATAAGTAAATATTTATTTTTATTTTTTAAAATTAATTTTTAATTATTTTACCTTCCTTTATTTAAATAAATTTATAATTTCTTTTTAAAATAAAAAAATTTTTTTAACAAATTTTGACATTCCAAAATTTAAAAAATAATTTTTTTTAATAAATTTAAATATTTTTTAGACAATTTAAAACCTAAAAAACAAAATGGAAAATTAAATAAAATAAATTCATTTGCGAAGTTAGAAAAAATAGGAAGTTTAGAACCTCAAGAAATTGAAAAAGAAAATAATGGAGAAACATCTAAAAGAAATATGGCTTATGTTGTAAATCAGAGAATGATTGCAGAAAAATTTAAAAGTAAATTTAAAATTAAAATTTAAAAAATAATCTATTTTGGCTTTGGTCTAGTTTTTTAGTCCAATAAAGAGTTTAAGCCTCGTGAAAGTTTGTAAGTCCGATAAAAATTTTATCCGTTCAAATAATGCTTGGTAGTGAGATTTTGTGTGTCTCCGGCTCCGTACTTTTTCAGATCGGTTTCGGATAACACGTGACATCCTTCTATGTATGAAAAACATGTAGGCATTCACCTCCCGGCATTCGCCGTCAGAAATCCATTCTACCTCCATTAATTCTTAATTGAGAAGACTACGAAGTCCACTTTTTGGAAATTCTCTATTCGGTGGAGGAGGTTATGTTCCGCCACTTTTGAAAAAAATTCCTGCTCCAATTACTTATGAAGCAATGTCGTTTATCAACAAAAAATACTTTAGACTTCCCAGTTCCAATAGAAAAAAAATCAAAAATATAAAGTTTTTTTTATAAATTTTTATCGGACATAAACTTTTAATGGACTAATTAAACTTTCATTGGACTACTAAACTAGACTAGAACCATTATTTTTGTAGATAGACTAACAAAAAAACAAACTGAAAGGATAATAAAACAATTACAAGAAAATTATGAAAAACAGCCATTTATATTTAAATGGTGGGATAAAGTAAAGGCAAATAAAAAGAAAGTTATATTTTCTTTTATTGCATTTCTTCTTGAAGTTATGCAATTATCTGCTGATATAATTAACAAAGATAAGGTAAAAATACATAAATATTTTTTTAAATATAAATAATTGTATTTATTTTAATAGTTTGATAGTGAATGGAATGATGAAATAATTGCTACTCAGAAATGTAAAAAAAATCAGAATATTTAATAATTAAAACTAAAATAAAATTATAAAAAATATCAGAAAAATATTTAAAATATCATAAATGCTCTAATAAGGGCTTATATTTTTCAATATTTGGGGGCTTATATTAGAGATGGGCTTTTATTAAAGACTGGGAACTTCGCGTAAAAATTTTGGGTGGGCTTCTATTAGAGTATATTAGAAGGTAGTTTTCAATGAGTTCCCCTGGCGAGCTTATATTAAAGATTCGAGCTTCTAATATATAGAGTCGGGCTTAATTATTAGAGCATTTACGGTTTTTTTAAAGTTATATCCCACAAAGAAGAATTAAATCGTGACAAAAGAAGTACTAAATTAGACTGTAAATTAGTGGATAAAGAAATTAGAGATTCGATAGAGTATTTTGCAAATTGTAATTTTGAGGAAACAAACCCAAATGAAGTAAAGGGAATTTTGTATGAAAATATTGAGGAAGTAAAGAAATTTTTGTATGGGGGGAAATGTTAAGGAATGTTTGGAGATGTAAAAAAAGAAGTTTTTTTATAAAAGATTTGTAAAAAACCCTAAAATATGTAAAGATATCCACTTTAATTATTTTGTAAATTTTTATATTTTTTAAATCAACAACAACCAAGTAATTCAAGATATTGATGAGATATAAGAAAAGTTAAACATTTTTTTTTTAATTTTAAAGATGCTTTCATTACAACAAACAGATACTTTTATTTTTCTGATAATTTACATTTTTTCATTATTTTGGCTCTAGTTCAGCGCCGATGGGTATTTATGGGAATAATTTAAAAAATCCCGTATAGGCTTCAAACCTGTGCTGAACTTTTATACTATTTCTGGGACTCTCATAGAATGCATATACTATTTTGGCACGCTTTTACTATTTCATGGGACACTTAAAAGCTCATGGGATGCATGTTCTATACTAGAGCCATTATTTTATTTAAATCATACATAATTTATGAACATATTTCTCTATAAAGTAAATGCTTCAAAAACCTCATTTCCCATTTCCATTTGTTTTTAAAAAAATCTGCGTGTATTTTGCGGTATTTTAGAAAGTGTTGGCAAAATGTCTTTTAATATTCGCAGAAATGTTTTTCCCATTTTTCCCTTTTGGCACTAAAAATAAGAATTCTGTGATTGTTGAAGAAATCCAACTTGGCAAATGCGGACTTTACCCTGCCTAAATTCAGAGTTTTACTTAAATTTTTATTTTGCTTAAGAAAATACTACCGAAAAAATAATTCCAAAAATTCCTTGGCCGTATCTGAAAATAATGCTGCAATCATATTTTTTCCTTCATTTTTTCCTTCATTTTTTCCTTTCCATATTTTTCCTTATTTTGTACAGAAAGGTCAGACTTTTTCACTCGTTCACTTCCAATGAATTTCCCTGTGGCATGTTCAAATGTGATTATAGAGAAAATATTAAAAGCAAAAAATAAAAAAATATTACATTTTTGTGTTGTAAAACATGGACAGACAAAACACGGACGAACACGGGCAGACAAAACACTGACGGATTCGGACAGGAAACACGGACGGACTCGGATGGACAGCAAAACACGGACGAACACGGGCAGACAAAACACTGACGGATTCGGACAGGAAACACGGACGGACTCGGATGGACAGCAAAACACGGACGAACTCGGACAGTTTTGACAAAACACGGACGAACTCGGACTGACAGCAAAACACGGACGGACACAGCAAACGGACGAACTCGGACAGACAAACATGCACACACATCGGACAGAAAAAAAGTAAATGCTCACAAAATTGAAGAAAAATAATCTATTGCGCTTATAGTCTTAAGGCACAAATCAGAAATAGAGAGAAAAATATGAGAAAATTAACCATTTTTAAGAATAAGGAAAAAATATGATTGCAGCATTATTTTCAGATACGACCAATTCCTTTATTTTAACTTTAAAATAGAGAAAATAATAAAAATGGCAACAAATATTCTAAAATTAAAAAGTGGACGTAAAATTTATTATTCAACAAAAGAATCTATAGAAAATAAATTAATTTCAAACAAAATAAAATTAAATAATTTAACAGATTTGGAAAATAAAGTTTATGAAGGTTTTTCTTTAAAAAAAATTTTTTTTTGAATTTTCTTTTTAAAAGGAGGACTTAAAATTTGGGAATGTTCTTTAGATTTAAGTTATTTTATTGATTCAATGTCTTTTGAAGGATTTAATGTTCTTGAGGTTTTTTTGAGAGAAAAAAAATAAAATTTAAATAAATAATTAGCTTGGTTGTGGTGCTGGATTGCCTTCGATTGTTGCTGCTTTAAATGGGGCAGCGTCTTTGACATTACAAGATTTTGTGTGAATTTTAAAATATTTTTTTTAATTAATGATATTTGATCCCAAAATTTTTTAAAATTAATTTGGTAATTTTGAACGTGACAGACCCCCTTTTTTCTTCCCCATTTTTCACCCTATATTTTTTAAAAATGGTCAGACTTTTTCCTTTCTTCCATCCAATTTGCCTTTCTAATTTTTGCCTGCAAAAAGGATTATTTTTTATATTTTATTTCCCGTTTTTTTCCCCAATTTTTTCCTATATTTTTTATACAAATCAAAAAGGATTATTCTTTTATTCAGTTCTTTCGCAAGGATAAAAATCGAAACATGATGCCAAAAATTATAAAAAACATTTTCAATATCACCAAAACTTTTATACGTTCCAGTGTTGTTGCCAGCTTCGAAACATGATGCCAAGCTCTTCGAGCCATGCATCGAAATCATAATCGCTTAAACGTAATTTTTCATGTAAATCAAAAGGCTTGAAATTCCTAAGTTGTTCCATTTTTTAATTGAGAAAATGAATTTTCGCAAAACTCATACTTGTTAAATACCAAAAAATAATCCTCCTTTTTATAATCCTTTTTGTTTGATTGCAGGCAAAAATTAGAAAGGCAAATTGGATGGAAGAAAGGAAAAAGTCTGACCATTTTTAAAAAATATAGGGTGAAAAATGGGGAGGAAAAAAGGGGGTCTGTCACGTTCAAAATTACCATTAATTTCTGAGAAAATTTTAAACTTTTAATCGAAGCTAAAAAATATAAATTTAGAAAAAAACAATTTCAGAATGATTATGTTTTGGAGGCTAACACAAAAATTAATTTTCAATTGAACGGAATTGATTTATCAAAATGTTCTTTTGTAAAATGTGATTGGGCAAATTGTTTAGAATTGGAAGGATTTAAAAAGTAAAAATAATAAAAATTACTGTATTGTCTCTAATAGAAGCCAGTCTCCAATAGAAGTCTAAACCCTATCAGAAACCCTCTTAATGAGGGTTAGGGTTGGGTTTTCGAGCCGGGCTGACGTTCGAGTCATTTTTTTCGGGCCTCATTCTTAACTAACCTGCCCGACCGAGTCTTTTTTGGACCAAAATTAGATGCCCGACTCGATCTTTCGGACCAGACTGAGCCCCCTACCCTAATGAGGGTTACTGAAAAATAGACGCCCAGGGCTTCTATTAGGGACAATACGGTAATTTAAAAAATTATTTTTTTTATAGATTTGATATAATTCTCACATCAGAGACTATTTATAATGAAGAAAATTATTTGGATTTACTTGAAATAATGAATAAATTATTAAATAATGAAGGGGAAATGTTTGGATTTTTTAATTAAAAATTATTTGTTTTTTAAAGTTATTTGGCAGCCAAAAATTATTATTTTGGTTTAAGTGGAAGTATTCCTGCCTTTCAATCATTAATAGAAACACAAGGAATTTTTAATTGTCAACAAGTTTGGAAAACAACAAAAAGTGCTGTTGAAAGGAAAATATTGAAAATTAAAAGAATTTAATTTAAATTAATTTAAATATACATATTTTTGTTTGATTTCTGTCTTTTTTCCCCTAAATTATTTTTTTATCCCCAAAATATTCAATAAATATTTAAATTAATTTTTGGATTTTTTAGTACCAACAGTTTGTTTTTGTTAAATCAGGGCTTCGTTTTTTGCGGATTTTTTAACTCAGAAATGTGGATTTTTAAAAATTCGAGATCGAAGCCCTGTGTGTTAATTATTTTTAAAATTAAAAAACAGCACGAATTTTTTCCTTATAACAAATTCAAAAAATAATTATTTAAATAATTATTAATTTATTACAAAACAAAATAAAATTAAAAAAATAAAAATAATATTTGCATTATTTACTAATTTAATATTTCCACTACTAGTTAAACGACTTTGCCTTTCTTCTTCATTATTATAATGAATTTTATGTGAGAAAAAATCAAATCCAAAATTGTTTTCTTCTTCTCCCACTTCCTCCCCCTCCTCTTCTTCTCTATTTTCTTCATTTTTGATTTCTTCCTCCTCTTCCCCTTCTTCCCCCTTTTCTTCTTCATTCTCATCGTTCTCTATCATTTTTCTTTTCCATTGTTGCCAATCTTCTTCATTATTTTTTATTTTATTTTCATCATTCCCTTTCCCTTTCACTTCCTCTTCCTTCTCCTCCTCCTTCTCTTCAATTTCTTCCTCCCCTTCATTTTCTTCAATAACCTTCCATTGCTGATTTTGTTTATTTTCTTCAGAATTTATTAAATAATTTTTAATTAATTCTTTTTTAATTGTCGAAGTAATTAATATATTATTATTATAATCATTATTATTTTCTTCCTCTTCCTCCTCTCCCGATCTATAATAATTATCAAAGTTGCACATTGGCATTAAAATTCTAAAAAAAATTAAATTTATTTTTAAATTCAATTTTAAAATTTCAACAACCTAGAAGTATCTTTCAATACTCGAAATATAACATTCCAAGCTTCATTTCCACAGCTTTGCCTAATTGGAGGGCGAACACATTCAGAAAAATAATTTAAAGCACTAAAAATACAAAATATTTTTAAATTTAAATAACATTTTTTACTTGCACATTCTCTCTAATCTATTTACAACAGTCCCATTTTGTTCATTATTTGCTTCCTCAATTTCTAAAAGTGTTTTATCATGACATCCTTTAACATTAGGTTGTTGATCTAATTCCATTAAACATTCTGCAGACCCAACAAAAACTGAAAAATTTAATTTAAATTTGTTGAAGACAAAAACAATTTAAAAGGGGTATTCCAATACCGCCATTTGCCATCACAAATTTCAAGTAAAGGTTGCCAGAAAAAAATATCTGGCAGATGGCAAGCCAATTCTACCAATTATACATAGTAAAAAGATTTTCTCGAAAATAACGTGTATTGGCGACAGTATTCCGGCAAATAGCACTGTTGTCCAGTGCTTCGAAATTTCAAATTTGCTCGTACTCGTACTCGTACTTCGTACCACCTCTTTTTTTGGCCTCGTACCTCGTACCACCCCTATTTTTTGCTCGTACTCGTACTTCGTACCAGGTACGAGTACGAGGTACGAGTACGAATTTTGGTACGAGCTTCGAAGCACTGCTGTTGTCTCTCTGTTGCCCCACTATTGTCCCTCTCTCTCAAATGGCAGGATATTGCCTCCCTTCCCTCCCTATGAATTAATTCTGGTTTTTATTTTTAAAAGGATCAGAAAAATAAAAAAACAAAAATTTAAAATACTTTCATAACCCTCATTACACAGATATCCATAAGATGCTTCAATTAAGCTAACAGTTATATGCCTTCTACATTTAGTTCTATACCCACTCACACAACGTTCAAAATGCCTAATTAACAGACACAATTCTTGAAATATTTTCCCTCCAATAACTTTTGTTGGCCACTGAATTCCCTGAATTTTTTCATAATTATTTTTATTTTTTTTATTTAAATCCAAATAATTTTCAGAATTTTCTTTCTCATTTTTTTGTTGATTGTTAACTGCTTTAGCATAATCTGCTACAGGCTGAACACATTGTTGAATTCTTGTATTAACCCAAATTGGGCAAAACTTTTGTGATTGTTGTAGGGAAGAACAAAAATTATATAAAAATATTAATAATGTTGGAAATGGAAAAATAAAAGATTTTATTTTAAATTTTTTCATGAAGAGGAAATAATATTTAATAATATTTTATTTTTCTGTGTCATTATTTGTTGAAATAATTTTGTTAATAAATTAAATCAGAATATTTAATTAACTAAAAATTCTGAAAAATCAGAAAAAAAAGAAAAATAATTTTTTAAAAAGTCGGGAGGCTTTCATTTAAATAAAAGCCAAAATAAATATGAAAATAAATTTATAATTTACAATATGTGTTAGCTCACCTGCCTTTAAAAGGGTCTGCTTCATCAGTCATTCATTTAAAGGGCAAACAATGAAATTTATGGCATACTACTGGTAATTTGGGGAAATATTTTTGGTTGAGGATATCAAGAAAATAAGGGAGGAAGTATAGACAAACACAGGAATAAATATGTATATATTTAATTTAATATTTAAAAATAAATATTTATTTTTTAATATACAAATTGTTTTTAAATTTAAAAAAAGATTTTAATTTTAAAATCAAAAAGAAAAAATATTTATTATTAAATAATATTACTTGGAGTTGTGTAATTGGCAAAAGGGAATGAGAGAAAATGTAAAAAGAAGGGTCAAGTATAGGAGGGAGGCTTTTAATAACAAACAAAATTTTGAGTTTTTAGTTTCAGGATAATTAAATTAAAAAAAAATAAATAAATTATTTTAGAGGATTTATGGGGTAATTTATTTAATGTTCTTCTCTTTTTTTACAAACAAAAAATAAGTTTTTATTTAGTTTAAATCTATGCTGAAGGGCAATCAACACACTGTTGGAGGTTTTTGGCGGTTTTTATTTGTTGTTTAATAATAATAACCAAATAATAACCAAACCAATTTTCATATTTTAACAAAAAAAAGAAAATTTGTAGGGAGGGTTAAAGAATAGAAAAATAAAGGTGTTTAAAATTGCCAAAATATTCTTTCGTTTCTATTAAAGCCTCCCCCAAAATATTTCCTTTCCTTTTCATTTTCACACTGCAATGGTTCCCCCTTGTTCCTAAAAATCACAGAAAAATAAAAAGGACATAAAAACCTAAACCCCCCCCCTCCCTCCATTCTTTTCGTCCATAAGAAAATTGGCTAATTATTTTCCCATTATTTAAAGGAAGGGAGACACAAATAAATACTTGCATTATTATGTATTTTTGTATTTTATTTGAATAAAGCCACCATCATTTTACATATGGTATTGAGAATTTGGAAATAAAAAAACATTTTTTATTACACATATTTTTACTTAAAAAAGAGAATTGGAAATAATCTTTTTTTAGAATTTTTGTTTTCGTCGGAAAATCGCAATATTTGGAGACAAAAAGAAAAAAAAATTTTTTTTTAAATTTACAAAATTCTGAATATACATAGCAGTGATCGCGCTGACCCGATTCACGATTCCCAAAAATCATGAATTCCCGACGATACTTAGCTCGTGAAGTCAATATAAATTCGATATATTTTAACATTACCGAGCTTTTAAAGGAAAACCACAAAATTGTCAACTTGTAATTAATAAAATGACTGCCAATTTTTTATTTTAATAAAAAGGCACACAAACATTTTCTGCAAAAGTTTTTTTGTTTAAATTTTCTCTCTTGTTAGAAAATGACTTTTTCCCTCTTTTCTTCCTATTGTTCAGATTAACATTAAAATAATACAATAGAGAAGGGAATCTTGATGGATATTGAAAGGATTACAATGAGGGAAGGAAAGGAGGAAATGCCCTTGCATTTAATGAGCACCTCGAAGGATTATTATTATTTATTAGTTGATGAGGTATTAATTAAAGTGTGGCTGTGCAACGGTGGTGAAGGGAAGGGAATAGAGAAAGGAGGGAGAGTAGAGGAGTCTAGTTAAAATTTAGGTAATTCTGTGAGGGATCCGGCATGTTTTCAATTATTAATCCAATAACAAGATAATCCAGATATTTGTAGTTCTATAATGGGATGTTAAAAATAAAATGTTATTGTCTTGAGGAAGAAAACTAAGGGTCGTGAAGAGAAAATTTTAATAAAATCTCAGAGTAATTTATTTCAATTTTTTACTCAAAAAGTATATAAATTTATGGAAGCAAGTGATTGGCGGATGTGTGTAATAATAAATAAATAAAGGTCATCATCATTATTGTCGCCCATTATTTGGTTATTCATTCAAACAATACAAGAAAATAATAAAAAAAATTGTTGAACCATCAATAGCAATTTTTCAGAAATAAAATTAAATCTGCTTTCCAAAAAAATTTTTTTGGAAAATAAAAAAATTATTTTTCCTAATTTATAAATTCTTTAAACTGACGAGATTTATTTAAAAATATTTAAAATATAATTGAGTCAATTTTAATATAGAATCATAAGAATACAAAGATACATATATTTATATGTTAATTTTATTTTTTAATATTTTTTAATTATGGATCTGAATTTTTATCTATTTAAGTTGGTTTTCACAAAAATTATGAAAAAATTTATTTTCAATATTTTATCAGAAAATAAAAATTTGCAGATCCTTAATTTTTAAAATAAATGTCGTTGCTAAATTGAATTAGTTGGAGAAGAGGAACAGAGAAAATTTCAAAGCTGAATTTTCAGGCAAATTTTTGTACAAAATAAAAACTAATTTTCCTATTTTCTAGTAATTAAAAAATAAAACAAAAACTTTTTTAAATTCTAAAAATTAAAAAAATTTCAAAGGAAAATTAGTAAAATTATAATAAAATATAATTTTTATCATGCAAAGGCAGAGGAAGTATTTATTTTTTGAAAAAACGAATTAATCTTTTTTAAAAATATTTACTAGCACCCACACCAACCGCTCGACTCGTAATCCCCATTTTTCAATTGAAGTCGCCTCCGCATTGCCAAATTAGATTCCCAAAGTCCAGGTGATTGAAGAATCTAAAATTTAAAAAACGATAAATTAAAGTAGAAAAGCACTAGCCCTACAAATAAATTTCTCAATATTTTACTTTTTCTTCAAATTTTTTTCAGAATTTTGAAACGAAAAATTAAACTCAACTAAAAATTGTAATAAAAATAATCTAATTTAAAAAATACCTTTTGAACAAGCTCTTCAAAAGCACATTGGACACCCTCCCGAGTCTTAGCACTTGCCTCAATAAACAGCATTCTGTGCCGACGAGCAAATTGAGCACCTTCATCTCTGGTTACAACACGAACATCCTTTCCAAATTTTAACAAAATTATTTTAAAAATTAAAAGCAAACCTCGTCAATTTTATTTCCAACAAGCATTTTAATAGCATCTGCCCGTGTGCAATAAGTGTCAACTTCTAATAGCCAATGTTCGAGACTTTCAAAAGACGCTCGGCTAGACACGTCATAAACCAAAATAATACCCTGACCTTAAAATTGAAGAAATTTAAAAAAAGGAAAAAAGCTTGTTTAAGGTTAAATGTTTGGTTATAGAAAATATTTTGTGAGCCAAAACTAGAAAGGTGGATTATATAAACGCAAACCCGTAGCCAGGATTTTTTTCGTAAGGGGGGGGGGGGGAGGGCAAAGGAGGAAAATTTTTCTGCGCCGAATTCCCACTACACCGAATCACCCCTACTACCCCTGGCTACGGGCTTGCTTTAATGTAACTGGAGGATTAATTAAAATTCCTAAAAAATCAAACCTCCTCTATAATAGCTCGGAGTCAATGTCCGAAAGCGTTCCTGTCCAGCAGTATCCCAAATTGCTAATTTAACGAGTTTATCGTCAATAGTAATTGTGCGAATGCGGAAATCTACTCCAATTGTTGCAGCCATTTCTGGGTCAAATTTGTCGTCCACAAAACGAGAAATTAAACTAAAAATAATAAAAACAATTTTTAATTAAATTAAATACCTCGATTTGCCTACACCACTTTCACCTAAAAAATAAAATTTTATTTAAATTTATTTTAATAAAAAAATTTACCAATAGTCAAAATTTTCAGCGTTGTCAAAAAATTCTCTTCTACCATTTTATTTAAAAATGTTAATAAATAATTTGTGTTAAAAAAATAAATTTGTCTGAAAAAAATATTTAAAAATTAAGATACAAATAAAAATATGTATTTTTGTTAATTATAATCAATATTTGAAGGGAAAATGATAAGAAAGTCTATTTAAAATAAAAGAAGTGAATAAATTGTGTAATTATTTACATTTAGTTTTATGTAATATGTTTTTGCTATTTTATATTTATTTTTTATTTAAAAATAAAAAATAAGTATGTAGTACAATTCAAAGAAAATATAAAACAAAGAAATAATTTTTAAAACTTGTTTTAATTAATTTTAAAATTTAATTTTTATTTCGAAATTTTGATTAAATGAACAATAAAAACGAAAGAGTGCAAAACAAAGAGAGACGACAGATCACGAGATAAATCAGATAGAATGATAAAAAAATTGTTAGACGGTTAGATTGAGTAAAAATTGTGTCATTTGAGTCTCAATTTTTATTTTTTTCTTTGTTCTTATCCTTTTGATTTTTTTCGTTGTTTTAATTAATTTGGGTTTTTGTTTTTTTATTCAACTAATTACAAGAATGGCATCATTTGTAAAATCCAACAAAAATGGAGAAAAACTAATTTATGACGGATTTATTTATGTTAAATGCAAAAATGGACCAGACAACAAACGTTATTGGAGATGTGAATTTTGGAGAAGTCATAAATGTAATGGATTTGCTGTAACTGATTCAGACAATATGGTGACTGTTACTAAACAACATGACCATGAAAGGTCACCAAATCGTGTTGAATTGGCCAAAATAAAGGATCGTATAGTTCAAGCAGCAGTTACTACAACACTTTCTCCTCGGGAAATTGTAAATAATCAGATAGCTGGAATTAGTGATCAAGCAAAGGTTTTTCTTTTTTTTTTAATTTTTTATATTAAAATAATTATTTTAGGCAGAACTTCCAAAATTGGTTAATTTAGAAAAAACAGTTGGAAGAAAACGTTACGCGGACGGACAACCTGTCCCCCGTTTTTTATCAGAAATTGACATTCCTGAAAATTTGAGAAGAACAAAAACTAATATTAGTGAAGATTTTATTTTGGTTGATACTGGAGCAGATGATAGCAATAGAATAATTATTTTTGCTTCACCTACAGATGTTGCACGTCTTTCAACCTCTGATGTTTGGCTTTGTGATGGAACTTTCAAAAATGATCAAAAATTATTTTATCAACTTTGGGTAACTTATAAATTTATTTAGCTCTTTAATACCTCTCTATTTTAGATTATTTCTGGCCAATTTTATCAACCAGTAGTTCTTCCCTTTGTTTATATTTTACTTCCTTCAAAAACAACAGAATCATACCTTAGAGCATTAGAACTTTTAATAGCAAAAATCGATGAAATGAGTCCTGGTTATAGGCCCCATACTGTTATTTTTGATTTTGAAAAGGCTGAAGAACAAGCATTGCAAACAGCTTTACCTTTTGCAACAATTCATGGATGTTTCTTTCAATTTAAGGTTTTTTCTTTAAAATTGTAAAAAAAATATTTTTAGCAATCATTATGGCGCAAAATTCAAGAACTTGGTTGGGGAAAAGCAGAAATAGAAGGACTGCATAATTATTTGAAAATGTTTGTTGCACTTACTTTTGTTGATACAGGTATGTGTTAGTAAAGGGCGTAGCCAGGGTGGCTGAAGCCTCCCCTCTCCCCCGAAATGGGGGATATTCCTAGATTTACGTTGCTTTTATATAAAATTATTTTTTTTAATTTCAGCAAATGTCCCCGCTTTTTTCAATCAATTGGCCCAGAGGTTTCTTGAAATTTTTGGCAATGGAGATTCGGAAGGTCCACATGTTGCTTTTATAAATTATATGGAGAGAAATTGGATTGGAAAGGATTTTATGCCCCCACGGTTTCCTTTGTCAATGTGGAACAGCAAAGATATAACTTATGACCAAATGCCTCGAGCTACAAATTCTGTTGAATCTTGGCATTTTACTTTTGCAGGAATATTTTATCGCCATTCTTCAAATCCATATAATCTTGTAAAGGCTATTTTAAATGAACAGGTTTTTTAGATTCTAAAAAAATTTTTTAATTTTAATTAAAGCTCCGTGTCGATGCCATTGCTGTAAAAATTGTATCTGGTGAAGAAATTCGAACATTTAGTAGACCTGAATATAAACGCACAAATGATCTGCTTTTGGATATACTGAAAGGAGTTGGTGGGCCTAGAGATCCAATTGAATATTTAACTGCTTGTTCATATTATATTCCTTTATAATGTCTTTTTTGCAATTTTTGATGAGCAATTAAAATAATTTTTTAGAATGTAGATTTTTCTAGTCAATAAATTCTAAAATATAAATTATTTATTTAAATAATCCTAGATTTAATGGTTATTATGAACATTTTAATTTTGTTGATGTGAGACTTTGAAATAGTTTTTTTTGTTTTTTGGGGACCATCGTAAAGAATATTGCTTTGATAAATATTTAAAAAGAGGAATTTTTGTGTTTTTTGATATATTTTTGAGGCTTATTTAAATACATAATTAAATTTTGTTTTCATATTTTTGGATAAATTTTCCCCAATTTTTAGATGGTAGAAAATAGTCAAGAAAATGAGTTGGTGGAATTGCTAGATGATGCTTTAAAGGACTTTAAAACTTTACAAAAGACAACAGATGATGATTTGGATGAATTTATGCAAAAAATTGATGATGAAGCAACAGAAAAAGCTGCACAAAAATTTGAAGGTTTTAAAAATTAATTTTAAATTTATTCTTTTATTTAAAGAAATGTTAAATCAAATGGCTGACAAAATGCAAACAGAAAATCAAGTGAATTCACCATCTTCTAATGTTCGGAATTCAAAGAACAGTAATTGGGAAAATACAAAATCTGTTTTTAATGATTTATTATTAAATAATGGAACGGAAAATGATGATCGAAAATTAGTTGAAGCATTTGCAAATTTGTCTTTTAATCAGGGAAGTACAAATGATTTAATGGAGTCATTAATTCAAACAGCTGTTTCTAAAGATGTTATGTATGCTCCTTTAAAGGTTTTTAATTTTATTTAAATTTTGAAACTTGAATAATTCTTTGATTTATTAAAAAGATTTTCTGAATAAACAATTCTCTTAATTTAAAGGAAATGCACTCAAAGTTTGGAATATATTTGGAAACAAAAAAGGATTCTCTTGATTCAGAATTGTTACGAAATTACAATGAACAATTTAGGGTATTTTTTAAAATATTTTAATAATTTTTTTATATCGTCGGGCATTTTAACTTTTCTAAAAAATGTTGAGTTTTGTTTTTCTAATGTTACATTTATGTAGTATTTTTATTTGTTACCCAAGTTCTCCTTTTGTAGAATTAAAAAATATTGATTTAAACTTTTTAAAGATTTTAACTCTTCTTTTACAACTTTATGCTGAAGAGGAATCATTGCCTTCTACCTCAACATTAAATGAAGAAACAAAATCTGCAAAGGAAGCGCGTGCTACATTAATAGCTAATTTATGGATTGAAATGCAAAATTATGGCCTTCCACCACCAGAAATTACTTCAGAAAATAATTCTGCCTCTTCAACTTTAAATGAATGCTCAATTATTTAATTGTGAAGAATCGTTAGAAAAATTTGTTCGAGCTGGCCTTTAATTTTGAATATTTTTTAGTTGGGAGGTTTTGTCAAAAATTAGTTGGAAAACTTTAATTTTTTGGTCCCTTCTCATTTCTTCTCTAATGTAAGGGTTAATAAAAAAGATCCATAAAATACTTACACTTAATCCATTTTTATATTTTGTTTATTCTTGCTCAATAATATTAATTAATTATTTTTATTTAATTTTTTGTTAATTAATTATTATTTTAAGAAGTATTTTTTAATTTAATAAATTTTTATTAGAAGTTTTTAAATAAAATTAATGAATTCACCAATTTACCCTTCATTTATTGAACGTACTTTCAAAAGTTTTACAATTGAAAATAACCCTGGAATTCGTTATTTAAAACATCCAACAGGAGTGATTATTTTAACATTAAATTCTGATCACGAATTAATTAAAAGTAAGGCTAAACTACAGTTTCCGTACCAGGCTCAGAATTGAACGATTTATATGTCATTCGAAAGAGCTCGTCGAGCTGAGTCGAATGACACCAAAATTTTTCAGCGGAAAAAATTCTGAGCCGAGTTACAGACCACTAAAGTTCAAAAAACCATAGGGGGGACCAAGCTGTTTTCTGGGGGTGAAAAATTCGAATATGCAAATTATACCTCATTCGAAAGAGCTCATCGAGCTGAGTCGAATGACACCAAAATCAATGAAATCAGAATTGATTTGACAAAGTTATGCTCGTTTGTTTTAGCTCCTTACCTATGTTCTCCGTGGATGTTCTTGCTGCTGCGGAGGAAGCTGGGCATGCCAATCACAGCGATAATTGGCATAGGATTAAGTTACGAGCCCAGACCCAGAGCCCGTAGACTCCCCGCGAGGCGCGTGCCGCAAAACTCCGCGCGAAGCGCGGAGTTTTGCACAAGCGCCTCGCCGACGCCCCATAGGTTTACGTTGTTTGTTTTTTCTGTCATAACTTTGAACAAACTTGACCAATCACGGCGATTTTGGTGTCATTCGACTCGGCTTGAAGAGCTCTTTCAAATGAGCTATTAATTGCATATTCGAATTTTTCACCCCAAAAATCAGCTTGGTCCCCCTTATGGTTTTTCGATTTTCGGGGGCCTGTAACTCGGCTCAGAATTTTTTCCGCTGAATAATTTTGGTGTCGTTCGACTCAGCTCGACGAGCTCTTTCGAATGACATATAAATCGTCCAATTCTGAGCCTGGTACGGAAACTGTAGTTAGGCCAAAAGTAAAGAAGAAACAAAAATTGTTTCAATTAGTTGGAATATTTGTGGAAAGAAAAAGGGTAGCGGAGGATTGGATAGAAGTAAAATGGAAGTTAATGGTAAAGGGAAAAAGGTATTTTTGTGAAATTATTATGAATTTGAATTTTAAAGAATTTTAAATTAACAATAATAGGGAAAAATATTGGTTCCTCTTATTTTGTCACACAAGAGGTTCTGTGGCAGTGCTGGGCTAATTTTGCGTTTCGTATCTTTCGCATATTACATCTTCCAGCGCGAAAAGTTTCGCATTTCGCTTTTTATTTTGAGATTTCCCCTAACCCTGATCTGTGGCTAAAATAAGGGAGAAATAGCGAGGGAGTAAATTGTAGGAATTAAAAAAGTTGGAAGGTGGTATGGAAGACAATAATTGTTTCAAAAATATTTGTTAAAAGCTGCTAATTTATTCTAAATAATTTTCAGGGCGGTCTTCAATTAATGCCTGATACGAGAATTTGTATTGTAAATGATTCTAATGGGTTAGTAAATTCTTTTAAAAAATTTGATTAATTTTTAGTCGGGAGCATACAATTCGTGCCGGACTTAAAGCTACATTGTTGGAAGTAAATAGTGAACGTTTAGCAATAAATCCAAATTTAATTATTGATGCATCAGACAATCATGGATTTATTGCTATTTTAATTGTAACGAATAATTGACAAAATTTTGTTTTTATTAATGTTTACAATTTTTAAAAAAATATAAAACAATGATTATTTTTAATTTAAAGGTGCTCTTTTAGAGAGGAATGAATTTACGATTTTAGCCCACTAATACACAAAAATTTAAAATTCTCTTGTTCTTGCCTGGGTAAATCTCTCCTAGAACATTTTTCCTTCTTCCCTTTTCCCCGTTCTCCTCATTTCTTCCCTGGAACGGAAGCGACGCCAATTTGCGCATTCAAAATTGAATGAATTTTGTCTGTTTCTGATGAGGGGCTACACCTACCCCCCCCCCTACCAGGCAAACACTTTTTATTTATTTATTCATCCATTTTTTCCTTAAAGTCTCTCTCCAATACAATAATATTAAGTAGTCTTTACTCTAAAAACTAGAGATCGGAATTTTGAAAAAACCGGGACCGGGAAACGGGTTCTGAAGGTCGACCGGGAGGGACCCGGACCGGGAAAACCGGGAATTCCCGTTCCCGGTTTCATCCCGGTCAAAAATGACCGGGACCCGGACCGGGAAATTTAAAAAAAATTTTAAATTCATTTAAAAATTTTAAAAAGTTATGGGCGTAGTTATTTATTGAAAAATCTGATTTATAAATAGAAGAATTTAATAAATCAGTAAAATAATCAATAAAACAAATGTAAATTACAAAAAATTAAAACATAAAGCGGATTAGGTAGGGCTAAAGGGATTTGAAAGGCTAGAGAATAATTGTGGGATATTAGGAGATTTTGAAGTTTAAGATCTCCCGATAGGCTCTTCAAATTTTTTATATCGCCTATAGGTATTCCTCATCTAATTCCCTTTAATCCCTGCTAATCCACCTTAATGAAGATTTAATTTGTATTTAATTTAATTTTTATTTAATCCCTCCAAATCCACTCTGATCTTCTCTGTGCAATAGTGATATCAGGGATTTAAAGAGATATCGAGAGATTCAAGTATTTGTTGGGAACATTAAGAGAGAGTATGGAGAAAGACCTCAACCACCTATATCACCTGATATCTATTCACATCCCTTCAATTGGAAGGCAATGATATCATATGATTAAGGCAGATCTAATGGATTTAGAGGGATAAAGAAGGCTAATCACCAGGTCCTTTGATAAAATCGCACTATAAACTAATTTCCCTCAACTTTTCCTCCAATAATACCTCCAAATTTCTCCGTTCCAAATTCTTCCGCGAAAATTTTGAGAATTTTGGAAGGCCAAACAGCCAAATTTCATCCTTTTTCAGCGCCGCAGGCGAAAATTTTGAGAATTTTTGTAAAATCTCCAATATTTTTAAGTCAAAAATCAAAACGCCAAGCAAAAATATTTAAAATTTGCTGCTAGAATTTTTCCCGGTTTCCCGGTCCAAAAAAAGCCGGGATCGGGAACGGGAAACGGGAAATGAAAATTAACCGGCCGGGACCCGGACCGGGAAAACCGGGAATTCCCGATCCCGGTTTCATCCCGGCATCTTCAAAAAAGCCGGGAAAAAGGACCGGGAAACCGGGAAACGGGACCGGGTCCCGATCCCGTTCCGATCTCTACTAAAAACAGTTAAACAAAGTCTACCAAAAATTATCCTCTCCCACCCAAACTGTTCAATAAAGGAGGGCACACGCAAATAATTATTTTTATTTGTTTTAAAAATTAATTTATTTACTTAAGATGTTAATTATTTAATTTATGTTAATTTTAATTTTAAACGAGACAATTTTTTTAGTATTTCCCAGAATTTTAATTTTTTTTGTTTAAAAATTTTTTTTGAAAGAGTTAAATATTTAAATATAAAATGGGTAGGAAATGAGTAAATCTCTAAGATTGTTCAATTTATTGAACAAAAGAATTTAAAAAAATGATGGCACAAAAATAGGAGAGAAAAGATTAAATATAGAGGAAAGAATTGATGTACTTTCCTCATCAACCTCTAGTAATGTTTTTTGATAATGGAGGGGAAGAATTTTTTGAATGAGAATTAGGTATTCTGTAAATAAATTCTTCCAATTTCCAATGCTAACACAGAAAAGTTATTTTTTATTGTTTATTTGTTTTTAATAATCAAAGAATATATTTTGGTTTATGTATGTCTTATAAACTAAAATTTTTGTATAAAAAATGTCCAGTATTTTAAACATAAAAACAATTTACTTTTTATTTACCCTCTGATTAATTTTTTCTGGTGTTTTAGAATAATTTAACTTAGTATTTTAAATTCTTCCAAGATTCTAATTTTGCAAACTGGATCCGGTTAAAGTTATTTTTTTATTGGGAATAATGGAACCCTCCTTTTCAGAAATTTTTTTTTAATTTAAAATTTTATTTTCCTAATATTTTTAACTTGAATCGTTATTAAAACATTAAATTTCAGATTTTATTAAAATGTTGTTTTTTGTTTTTAAAGTCGATAAATCCCCTTTAACTAACATATGTAAATATATTTATTTTGCCACGTTCTTTAATTTTATTATTTTTTAAATTAGCTTTTCGGCAAAATAAATAAACTAGTTTTTTTTTTAATTTTGCAACAATTTAATAATAATTATTTTATCGTTTATTAATTTAATATACTAAATAATTTTTTTAAATATTTTATTTCTTTCCTACTTTCACAGAAAATAAAATATAAAATTTAAATTTACTAATACTAATAATGTTTAATGGTAATTTAGAACAACAATCTATTGCAACAATAGCAGATACCCATGCTATGCAAATGGCTAATTTGTAAATATTTTTTCTCAAATTTCTTTTTAAAAATTAATTTTAATTTTCAAAGAATTCTTTCCACAAACCAACAAAACAATCACTTACAACAATCCCCACATTCTTTTTATGGTTCAGTCCCTTTAAATGGTTGTAATAATAATACAATAACGAACACCAATTCCCCATCAACAGTTGATGTACAAAGAATGCAGCAGTGGTTTAGACATAATGATACAAGTCCGTATACGAGTCCTTTACCTTCTAATGTAAGTAAACTTTTGATTTTATTTTTAATTTTCCTTTTCTGTTTTGATTAATATTTTTTGTTGTGTTTTCTTTTTT